GAAGCGGTTCCTGTCAAAATTTGGTGCTATTGAACCGGGGCTTTTGTAAAACACAGCGGTTCGATAGCACCAAATTTTCGGAAGCGGCTCCGTTCAGAAATTTTGGTGCTATCGAACCGCGCCTTGTAAAACACAGCGGTTCGATAGCACCAAATTTTCGGAAGCGGCTCCTTTCATAAAATTTGGTGCTATCGAACCGCGCCTTGGAAAACACAGCGGTTCGATAGCACCAAATCAGAAAATTTGGTGCTATCGAACCGCGCCTTGGAAAACACAGCGGTTCGATAGCACCAAATTTTCGTGGTGGGTGGGGTGGGGGCGTGCTTGGGGTGATGGCACAGGGCAGGGGGCAGGGGGCAGAGGGCAAGGGACAACGGGGCGTGGGTGGAGGTGGGAGGGTGGAGTGGGGCAGGGTTGGGGTGGGTGGGTGGTAGTGTGTGGGCAGGGTGGCGGCACTGGGGGCTGGGGGCTGGGGGGATAAGGGGGCTGGGGGCCAGGGCCTGGGGGCTGGGGGCCGGGTGGGGCTGGGGCTGGGCTGGGGGCTGGTGGCGGGCGGGCGTGGAGGCTGGGGGCTGGGGGCTGGGGCTGGGGGGTGGTGGTGGGGGGTTGGGGTTGGGGGTGGGGGCACCAAATCCAGGGATTTAAATAATTGAAATAATTGAAATAATTGAAATAATTGAAATCGGCCCCATTTCAATTATTTCAATTATTTGGGCCCTTTGGCGGATTCAAATAATTGAAATCCGAAAGCTCCATGGGCCCGAGCCACCAAATCCAGGGATTTCAATAATTGAAATAATTGAAAAAATTGAAATGGGACCGATTTCAATTATTTCAATTATTTGGGTCCTTTGGTGGATTTAAATAATTGAAATAATTGAAATCCCACCCATTTCAATTATTTCAATTATTTCAATTATTTCAATTATTTCAAGAATTCAAATGGGGGGGAATCGTGGCTTGACCCATAACAGCCATCGATTTCAATTATTTCAATTATTTGGGCCCTTGGGCGGATTTAAATAATTGAAATAATTGAAATCCGAGGGTTCGATGGGCCCAAGCCACCAAACCCAGGGATTTCAATAATTGAAATAATTGAAATAATTGAAATGGGGCTGATTTCAATTATTTCAATTATTTGGGCCCTTTGGTGGATTTAAATAATTGAAATAATTGAAATCCCCCTCATTTCAATTATTTCAATTATTTCAATTATTTCAATTATTTCAATAATTCAAATGGGGGGGAATCGTGGCTTGACCCATAACAGCCATCGATTTCAATTATTTCAATTATTTCAATTATTTGGGCCCTTGGGCGGATTTAAATAATTGAAATAATTGAAATCCGAGGGTTCGATGGGCCCAAGCCACCAAACCCAGGGATTTCAATAATTGAAATAATTGAAATAATTGAAACAATTGAAATGGGGCTGATTTCAATTATTTCAATTATTTGGGCCCTTTGGTGAATTTAAATAATTGAAATAATTGAAATCCCCCCATTTCAATTATTTCAATTATTTCAATTATTTCAATAATTCAAATGGGGGTGGATTCGTGGCTTGGCCCATAACAGCCATCGATTTCAATTATTTCAATTATTTCAATTATTTGGGCCCTTGGGCGGATTTAAATAATTGAAATAATTGAAATCCGAGGGTTCGATGGGTCCAAGCCACCAAACCCAGGGATTTCAATAATTGAAATAATTGAAATAATTGAAATGGGGCTGATTTCAATTATTTCAATTATTTGGGCCCTTTGGTGGATTTAAATAATTGAAATAATTGAAATCCCCCTCATTTCAATTATTTCAATTATTTCAATTATTTCAATTATTCCAATAATTCAAATGGGGGGGAATCGTGGCTTGACCCATAACAGCCATCGATTTCAATTATTTCAATTATTTCAATTATTTGGGCCCTTGGGCGGATTTAAATAATTGAAATAATTGAAATCCGAGGGTTCGATGGGCCCAAGCCACCAAACCCAGGGATTTCAATAATTGAAATAATTGAAATAATTGAAATGGGGCTGATTTCAATTATTTCAATTATTTGGGCCCTTTGGTGAATTTAAATAATTGAAATAATTGAAATCCCCCCATTTCAATTATTTCAATTATTTCAATTATTTCAATAATTCAAATGGGGGTGGATTCGTGGCTTGGCCCATAACAGCCATCGATTTCAATTATTTCAATTATTTCAATTATTTGGGCCCTTGGGCGGATTTAAATAATTGAAATAATTGAAATCCGAGGGTTCGATGGGCCCAAGCCACCAAACCCAGGGATTTCAATAGTTGAAATAATTGAAATAATTGAAATAATTGAAATAATTGAAATGGGGCTGATTTCAATTATTTCAATTATTTGGGCCCTTTGGTGGATTTAAATAATTGAAATAATTGAAATCCCCCTCATTTCAATTATTTCAATTATTTCAATTATTTCAATTCAAATGGGGGGGATTCGTGGCTTGGCCCATAACAGCCATCGATTTCAATTATTTCAATTATTTCAATTATTTGGGCCCTTGGGCGGATTTAAATAATTGAAATAATTGAAATCCGAGGGTTCGATGGGCCCAAGCCACCAAACCCAGGGATTTGAATAATTGAAATAATTGAAATAATTGAAATAATTGAAATAATTGAAATAATTGAAATGGGGCTGATTTCAATTATTTCGGCCCTTTGGTGGATTTAAATAATTGAAATACTTGAAATCAGCTCTGCTGATTTTAAATTATTTCAATTATTTAAACTAATATGAGTCATACAGAATAGAGTAGAGCGTAAAATAGACCCTAGAGGCGCCTCTCATATATATATATATATATACATATACATATATATATATATATATATACACACATATTATATTATATTATATTATATTATATTATATTATATTATATTATATTATATTATATTATATTATATTATATTATATTATATTATATTATATCATATCATATTATATTATGATATATTTTATTATATTATATTATATTATGATATATTTTATTATATTATATTATATTATATTATATTATATTATATTATATTATATTATATTATATTATATTATATTATATTATATTATATTATGATATATTATATTATATTATATTATATTATATTATATTATATTATATCATATCATATTATATTATGATATATTTTATTATATTATATTATATTATGATATATTTTATTATATTATATTATATTATATTATATTATATTATATTATATTATATTATATTATGATATATTATATTATATTATATTATATTATATTATATTATATTATATTATATTATATTATATCATATTATATTATATATATATGTAGTCTCGTGATCTTTAGCGGATTTCGGATTTGCTGCCCTGCCTTCAAGTTCGAAACCATTTGTCTAGAAACTTCTTGGAAAGCTTCTGGGCAATGCGGCTTGAAACAGAAGGCCAAGATACCAACACGTATATTCAGCGCGAAGTCCGCTAATTCTCAGCTCACAGCCATGTACCCCACAGGACACGGATTACAGATGTTCAAACGAGCTGCCAGACTTGTGCCGTCCCCAAGGCGACGACAGAAAGCAAGAGCAAGGGGCTGTGGCCATGGCGCGTCATGCACATCCCGCGTCTGCTTTGCAGAATCTTTGGGACAAGATCAGGAAACAAGGGCTGCGAATGGGAGTGCCATGATGAAGTTCAACCAGGCGGGCTTCATCGAATTTAGGGGGCTGATCGGAACGCCGAACTCAAGACTTCGCGGGCTTAACACCACCGGTCGGGCTTTGCAAGCCTTGGAGGCGCATCTACAGTCGGCCTTCTCCAAGCAGACATCGGCGATGATCGGTTCAGGAGCAATTTGCTTCAGTGGGATCTTAATCCGCAATGTACTGCAAGAATCGCTTCAACACAGCAACAAAGTCAATGTCCCGACTGTTGGGACCCGATGCTGCACGGAATCATTGTATTCGCGTCGCGATCTCAGAAAATTCTTACATGCCTGTCAGTCTGGAACTTGAGAAGCTGTGTAAACAGATGGGCCTCTCTGTTTGCGGGCTCGCAGCTCGATTTCAAGAATGATTCCCATCGCTTCGGATCACAAGTGGGCCTTTTTCAACGCAGGCTCAAGTCTCGTCAGCCTTGCGGCTGAAGCTGCTGCCGTTCGGCTCAGGAGATGCTTGCTTCAGCAGGATCTCCGCCTCCATGTGCAAACTTCAAAACGCTTCAAAATGGCAACAGGTCAGCATCCGTCTTGTTGGGGCCCGATGCAGTCTGGAATCACCAGGAGCAGGGCTCTCAGCCTCCTGAACTGCTCTTCTTGCGAGTTTCCGTGGGATGTCTCCAAATCATTCCGAGGGCTTCGGGACGCAAACCTTCTGAAAGCCCAGAGCCCTTCTCTGATGGTTGCGCAGCACCCACCCTGCGAGTGACCAAACAGGGCCTCACCGGGCATACACAAGAAGCTTGCTTTACGATGCTTTACGTAGCACGGACCGATTTCGAACAAGAAGCTAGGACAAACACAGGTCTCGAAGTTGATCGCAGTGTTTTAGGGCTGCCGCCTGCGCAGTTGTGGGTCTGCGCATCTGCATTTGTGGGCCATGTGGCGTCCCAGCATTGGCAGGCCGACAATGAAGCCACTGTCTTTGGTCATCACGAGTTCGACTAATCCCGATGCAGTCTCTGCCGAGAACCATCGTAAACCACTGCCACAGCAACTACCGTAGCAACTTGTGGCCTTCGTTGCTATACATGCTCGTGTGGGGCATGCACGCAAACCTTCATCCAGATGATCTGTCCTACTACTCAAGCCCCGAATTCGAGCACGGCAAGCCCTGCCCACGGAGGGAGCTCGGCGATTCACGGAAGCTCTGCAGTCAGGCCTCGTCCAGTCGCAACGAGATGCCAAGCTCTCATCATCTCATCAACGCACACGAAGCTGCTACAATCACCTGCGCACCCGCATGGCCTTCACGGTGCGCTGCACAGTAGATTTCCACAGTACATAGTAACCTGCGAATGGAAGAATTCAATCTTGCTGCAAGCTCATGGGACATACTACCGCGGTCTATGCTGCCTGATATCCGCAGGATGCATGTAGAATGTAGAAGACACCGTCGGTCGAGACCAGCAGCCGGAAGTACACAGCAGTACCCACCACTCCGAAAAGCTGAAAATTTTGAGCAGCGTTCACCATTCGACCACTTAGCCCTACAACCCTGAAGGCTCAAGCCTTTCAACACAACCTCAACCAAACCCACCAACCCCAAAATCCTCCCCATCCCTCCCGTAACCCAAGCCCCCAGTAACCCTAATGTGAACACACCCAAAGCCCTCCGTGCTCCGCGTCGGCCAAGCCTCCTGAGGATGCACCTCCGCGGCCTGCCTCGAGTGAGGATGCCCAGCCTCGACAGGAAGCACTTTGCTCGTGTTCGAAAACCGAAGCCCACAGTCCCTTCCGCTGCCCATGGGTGCAGTATCTATAGAACAAGCTTAAAGCCCTTCTCGTTCGCGAAGACCACGGCCTCCGGCGGCGGCTCCGTATCTTCAAGCATGTCCGGCTCGGAAAGTTGCAAGACCACCGCGTCGTCCTGCACCTTCGGAACCTGGCTCCAGGGTGTCCCGCGTTTGAACTCTGCAGGTTTCTGTTGGTCAGGGCTGCGGGCTTGCTCCCTGCATTAGCAACATCTCCTGAGGCGTTGGATAGATAGATGTACAGGGTGCAGGGCAAAAACGAGTTTGGGAAGCAGAAAAGGGCACCCGAATAGCAAACCTTGCCAGTGGATGCCAGTGCGGTCGCCTGCTTTCTGGTTTGAGGAAGCTGCAAACCTCAAGCTGCGGTTGAAGGTGATCCACGTTTCTGGCTTTCGATGCCTGGTGGAGGATTTTGAGTCTTTTTGAACACGGATCGACAGCTTTGGCGACTTTCAGCTCGTGAGCCAAACCTTTCTCGGAAGCCCGCGGCCTGCTCTTCTTCCCTAAACCCTAAACCCTAAACCCTATTGTCAAACGAAATGCTTCCTTCTCCCAAATCTCGCTGGACCTCCCCTCTCGCGTTTGCATCCATCTTCCAAATTCTCGAGCTCGTACAATCATGCAGGACAGCTTAAGCTGAAGAGAGACAGAATTCAGTAAAGGAGACAAACATCGTGACAAGGGCAGTTTCGCTGTTGCATCACCACGTCAATGCCACTACAAACATCTCGACAAGGAGAAGAATTTGCTGGGGGAATGTGTACCATGTTCCCTTCACGCTATGTGACGGTTCTGACGACAGCAGAAAGGCTGAACCTTGTCAGGTTGCCGCTTGAACGCTTACCTGGGTGGAAGCTATAACAACCTTGAACACCAAGCATGATGGCCACTTTAGCATAGAAAAACGATGACATGAGCCCTAAAACCAGCTCCGATCCAGCGTAATGTTGCATCTCACAACACTCTCGGAACCCCTGCGCGATGCCTCTCCCCTGCTGCTACTTCGCAAATCTGGCTCCAGGATCTCTGCGAAGTTGCTGTCATCCTGCCAGTTGAACTCCCACATGAAGGAGTGCCACGTTCAAGATCCGAGCTGAGGACCTAAACCTCAATACGCTCAACCCCAGGCACCATCATGCAAACTTGACCCCAAGAGTACCATGCCGCAGCCCTGAACAGAGTTCTTCCGCGAACTCCGGCGTCCAAGTCCTTGTCCGCTGCGAAGCTGACAAGGATCTCATCAACAGAAACCGTCGTGGCCTCCGAGAACGATTCCGAATTGAAACTTGTAAAGGGCAGTTCGGTTCAGAGTGCGGGTGCGAAGCTGGCCGCCGTGTCGTCCTCGCGTCCCACATTCGATTTTTGCCCGATTTAGGGCCTTCGGGGGTGGACCGCAGCTTGCAGCCTGAAAATACCCCTCGGCCCCGGCCAAATCATGCCAAAGCGGTCGCGGGATGCCCCACTCTCCCAAGAAAGAGCTGTGGGATCCACAGGCCTGATCGCCCGTTGTTGAGACTCCACCTTCCAAAACAGAGAAAACAGGTTTCTCGGGTTTCCTGTCGGTGTTCGGGACGCCCCTCCGTGGCCAAACCAGGACCGCAACGACGCGCATGTGGTCACATCACCAGCATGGGGCGTCAGATCAAGAGCGAAACCATTAAACCACTCCCCCCTTTTCCACACGACAGGAGGCGAAACGCCACCAGTCGTGCCCCCGCGACAGCATCTGAAACTGTCTCCTTGGAAGCTAAGCCACCTGCATCAGAGGTCAGGCGCACGCACAACACTCGCGAACACAAGCGACAGCTTGCCAACGCTTGCGGGTGCTGAGGCAGTAACGAGTTCTGGTCAACTGCCCAACCCGACCATACCGCCACGGCTTGAAATGAAATCGAAACGCTTGTCAGGGATCTGCAGCAATCGTTCATAGCAACAGTGAGCCACACCTAACCGTGTTCGGGCCCAGTAGTGGCTGCAGATGCGGTGGCAGTACCTGCGCAGTAGCACTAGTGTATAAGTACGAAGTACTAGTTGCAGAGTCGTAGTCGTGGTGGTGGTGGTGGTGGTGTAGCAGCAGTAGCATCAGTCGCAGCAGTGGCAGCAGAAGTAGCAGTCCGAACAGCAGCAACAGCCGCAACACTAGTAGTAGTAGTAGTCGTCGTCGTCGTCCTAGTCGTCGTAGTAGTAGTAGTAGTAGTAGTAGTCGTCGTCGTCGTCGTCGTCGTCGTAGTCGTAGTCGTAGTCGTAGTCGTAGTCGTAGTCGTAGTCGTAGTCGTAGTCGTAGTCGTAGTCGTAGTCGTAGTCGTAGTCGTAGTAGTCGTCGTAGTAGTAGTCGTGGTCGTAGTAGTAATGGTAGTAGTATGGTGGGGATAGTAGTGTGGTGGGACTTGGAGCCGATCTTGTGATTGGCGTACAATTTTGCCTTTTTGCTTTTCAAGAATTTTCTTGGTGGGGTCAACATGGTACGCAAGCTTGCTGGGCGATGGGCGAGGGCAACTCGGTGGTGGTTCCGATAGGGGGGTAGGAAAATCTTGTAGATCTTGCGGTTTTGCTGTCCCCATTGAAAACCCTAAACCGTACCCCTGAACCCTAAACCCTACCCTAAACCCTAAACCCCTAAACCCTGATCCGTAAACCCTAAACCCTAAACCCTGTGCAAGATTACAAGAGTACCCTGCACTTACCCCCCTAAGCAGAAACCACTTTTTAAGACTGCAGGTTTTCAATGTGGTCAGGGATGGGGGCTACGTTACAGCGCGAGGGCTTCGGATTCAGGGTTCTGGAACAAAGGGGACTTCAGGTTGGGCTCTAAGGCTTGAGAGGTTAAAGGTTAGAGGCAGGGCCTTGGAAGATGTGCAAAATTTCCCAGTCCCAAAGTGTACCTGTAGCCCCATTCCCTGCAAGGTCATGACCCCATAATCCTAAGGCGTACCACGGAATCACTGACAAAACATTCCAAGGCCTCAACCCTAAATCCCTTAACCTCAAAACCTGAAACCCGCAATTTGGATCTTACTTGTAACTTTACAATCTATCCTCAATGCTCTTTGATTGGCGAGTTTTTTTAAACCTAGGAGTTGCAGGGTCTAGTGTCAAACAGTTGAAGGCTTGGCTCTTGGCGGGATGAACTTAAATGCACTGAAGGCATGGATGCAAAGACGGCAGACTGTACCTGCGAACTCCCAATGATACTAATAACGCATGTCAATATCCACAATTGTTTTGATATTCATGCAAAGATTAACTCTCTCGTTCATGATATTGGAGTATAAGTCTTGCTCGCAGCCTGGACACACACACACACACAGACGAGGATTGAACACAAGGCACGGCTGAACACAGACTGCCCATGGGCAATCAACGGGACATTGGTCAACGCCACCGCCCTCTCTTAACTGAAGTTGTTTTGGAATGCAACAGCGCTGAGGAATCGGGGCAACAGCGGAGCGCATAGGGCCGAAGCTACACCCACCAACTCACAATGTGCAGCCTGCTTGGAGGTCGCGGCTTTGCAAGTTTCTTCGTTGGAATTGCGATGCTGCCTGGGGGCTGATGCGGCAGTGGACTTCCTGTGAAACTGCACAAAGATTGAGAAGTCGCACCGGTGCAAGGCTGAAGGCTGAGCTGAAGGCATGGGAGCATGGCTCTGCGAGCCTCGGCACGGCACGGTTCATAGCCATCAAGGGACTGGTACTCGCGACTCATGACCAGGCCACGGACGGCGACATGACAGCACGTTGAAACTTTCGAAATCCATAAATCGGGTCAAGTAGGCTGCGTGCTGCGCTGTCAACCCTGATTCGCCGCTTTTGCATATTGTGGGCTCCTTTCAAGGCAATGTTGTTTGGGACTCGTCAAGGGTATCCTAGATGATGCGGCGCGTCTTAGCATTCGTGGAGATTTGCTGCGATTGATTCTGACTCCTTAAGGCTATTCTGAAAACAAGATTCGTCACCCCTCCGCGCCGTTAGGCGTCGAAGGTTGCCACTCCCGACCCTTGATGTAATGACGTGGTTGCGGGTACCGGCAGATCCACGCTCGCGATGAAGTCTCGCCGTTGCCATTGCACCTTCCGCTCCTACCTGGCCAATCAAGTCGTGGCCGGGAAGCCCTGCGCTCGCATTGGCATCTAGAAAAGAGGATTACCGCCATCAGAAGGCTTGCGTACCGCAGCCAGGCCACGACGGCATCGGTGCCACCTCTGCGAACGCTCTTCCCATGAGCGCAATTCATGCGGGGCGTGTCCGACTACACACACTCCTGATATGCCGGTGCACGAGAGGCGAACAATCAGAAGGTGCGCAAGTGAGCAAACAACCTGACAATCCTTTAAGGAAATGAAGCACGGTGAACCATTCTTCAACACAAATGGACGGCAAGCATCACACCATAAGCTGCAACCTCCCTGACGGGCGGAATCAAAACCACAACCCAGGCAAATCCAATCATCGGAGGTGCAGCTGGGTGAAGCTGGCAGTCGGGTGTCTTGGATGCCACACAACCATACCCCGAACTCACGGACATGCATTTGAACGAGCTTCTGCCTGCCAGTAAGATACAACAACCCTCTCAAGCTCGGTCCTGTCGTTGCTATCCCGAAGCGTGCATGCCTTGAAAGTTCCAACTCGCCACTGACAAACAGCAACGGTGTCCAAAGGCATGTTGTCCGCCTAATTCTTGACATCAGAGACCACAGCAGCGGAGAAAAAGTCTTTCGCAACATGACCCCCTGCACAACCGGCAACAACATCCCACAATGAAGGCAACTCATCGGACCGGGCGTGCCATGGCAACAGCCGCAACCACTCAACTAGGTTGCTAACAAGCCCGACAGGATCCAGAGAGAGGCTTGACTACGTTGCTGTTTCCAGTGACCCTGCTCCTTGTGTTCAGTCCCCGGTGGGTCGTTGAGCACATTGACTTGATGTTGGGGTCGGATCATGATCACAAGATGGCTTGCTTAGACACCGCTCCAAAAGAAAGGGAAATCATTCCAACAACCTCAGCGTCGGTTGGTCAAGCTTGATCCTGAGCTCGCACAAGACTGGCAGGTGCCTGCTTGGCAGTTACCCGGCCAGAGGTGGGGTACCTGGGTTGACAAGCAGCCTGCGTTCTTATATCAAGGTTGGTTTCAGACCACCCGTAAGTTTGAACACAGACGCCCCACTTTCCGGCGCCAGTCTTACATTACAGACAAGATTGTTGCACAGGTCCGGCTTGGGAACAGATTGAGGGAGGCGCAATGTGCTTCTGATCTTGCGCGTGTCTGGTGTGCCTTTGTCACTTGGAAGCGGAACTGTGCTGCAGTTAAACGTGCGGCTTTGCAGTTTGCTGATTGTTCTGACTGCGGTATGGTGGAGTGCCTTTCTTCGTACAGGCAAGGAGGTGCGTGCTCTGTTCAAAGCAGGGAAGACAAACAAGCTGTCCGAACTGGCAATTCGGTCCAGGAAAGCTGCAGAGCATGGTGACATCAAGCAGCTTTTCAAGTCTCTTGCTCCTTTCAGGCCAGGAGGTCCACGCATTGCCTCTCTTCAGCCAACTGTGGCAGCACATGGGCCATCAGGTGAGCCCATTCCCGACAAAGCTGCTCTCGCTGAGTTTTGGTCAGATCGAAAGGGGGCGAGACAGTCAGTGAACAAGAGCTGCAGGACTCGTATGTAGAGCATGGCTCCAGTTTTATTGATTTCGCCCATGCTTGGACGAGCTTCCTTCTGTCATTGATTGGAAGCAGTGTTTTAGGGGGCTGCAGGCTGGGAAGTCTCCCGGCGCTGATGGGCTTTCGCACGACCTCATTAAAGCTGCCTGCGATGCCAGCCCCTTGAAGAGCTATCGCGTGGCTTTGAAGGTTGTAGTCCCTTGCACCGGCGGGGAGGTCTTGCTTGGGCATCTTCAAAAAAAAAGGCAGTGGCAGCCAGGCGTCCATCGATCAATTCCTGCGAGTGACGGCTTGGGCAAGCGCTTCCACAGCTGGATGAGAAGATCCCTCGCCCAAGCCTTCGAGGACGTTGCACCTCCATTTCAACATGGGCCTGTTGGTTTAAGGTTTAGGGTTTAGGGTTATCAGTGAAATCCCCTGGTTCGTGAGAACGCTCCAGGAGCACATGCGTGAACAGAGGATCTCACATCTAGTTCTACTCGTCGACACGCAGTCAGCATTTTCATTCCTTTGTGAGTCAACTTCTATTCCGAGAAGAAAGGCGGTATCAAGCATCTTGTGCTTTTTGTGAAACATTGAAGTTCTCGCATGATCATGTCGCTCTCGTTTTGCAGACCTTTGACCATGAAGGTGTGGGCATGGACAACCATCTTTGTGCTACAACACTACAGTTCTCCGGTTCGGACGCGTGGGGAATCGAAACCAGGACCTTCTCTTCGGCTTCGCTATGGCGGGCTTTGTGAAAGACATCGAGGGCCAGTTGAGGTGGTGTTGTGCCTTGCACTTCTGTCGTTGGAATTATGCCTCAGACGAATGTTGAAACCACACATGTTCCTTGTGGCGTTGATTGAGTTTGGCATTGATGGAGCTTGCGATCTGCTTCCTGCTTGCAGACGTGTAGCGCGCTTGGTTCAGTCTCGCTGCGTGGACATGAGTTACATTTCCGGGAGACTGAACTTGTTCGTTCTCCTGTTGGACTTGGATCCAAACAGGCGAAACTCGACACTTGCAATGACCCCGTGCTGAAGTTGGCCTTCCTTCCTGATGTTGGGAGCGCTCAAAAAGTCGGCTGCGCTCCAGCCTGCAAGCACGTGGGTTCACTTGTTGATATGTCGGCGTCTCTGCTCCCTGACATAAACAGGAGACTGGGACAGGCAGGGTCCCTGATCAAACCTTTTCGGAAGCGGGCTTTCAAAGGTCGCTTGTTCTGTCGCGTGTTTTGGTTAATGCCGCAGCATGGTCTGGCATGCGTATTGCTGAAATTCGTGCGGAGCAACCCGAAGTTCTTGCTAGTGGGCCCTCAGGCACGGCATGATGCGCATGCTATCAATCGAGAGTTGCTTCGGCCGGGTTGGGCTCCCTGCTCCTATGAACCTTCTGCGCCTCGAGCGGCTGAGACTTCTCAACTTCTGCACAAAGTCATGTAGCAGAGTTCATGAGTTGCTCGAGGCCAGCATCGGTGCCCAACAATGCTGGCTCACTGAAATCCTGAATGACTGGCAGTGGTTGCGAGGCTTGCTGTCGTTGTCGGTTCCGGGCGATGTGCGACGAGCTTGGTACAAATCGTGCGCGAAGTGGGCTTGCTGTGAAATCGTTGTGCCCTGCCTGGCCCAATGGTTGTACACCAGTTTTCTTTTTGCTGTGCCAAGCTCAAAGGGTCATCTTGCTTTGAAGTATGGGTTTCGCTCAACGGAAGTTTGTGGTGTGTTCGGCCACGTGTGCTGCGTGTCTGAAATGCTTCGTACCAGGTCCAGATTGACCTTTCACCTTCAGCGATCCAGTCCTAGGTGATTTAACAGTCATTGTGCTACGGAAACTCTGTTGCCAAGCGAGGTTGTCCGTGAGCTACATCTAGGAACGCAACAGGTGTAGGAAGGCGCAGAGGCGTTCGATGGCCGACAGGAGGCCAGTCGTGCAGACGGATATCTCGGTGCCGACTACACGTGTCATCGAGGAAGGAACGATATCTACTCATTTTATTGAAGACTTCGTCTGAAGATTCCTTCCGTTAATTATTCTTCATGTTTGTGATCCTTTCCTGCAGCAAAGGACGCTTCTTCAAGGTGTGTGAATGAATGAATGACTGAATATGAATATGAATGAATGAATGAATATGAATGAATGAATGAATATGAATGAATGAATATGAATGTGAATGAATGAATATGAATGTGAATGAATGAATATGAATATGAATATGAATGAATATGAATATGAATATGAATATGAATATGAATATGAATATGAATATGAATATGAATATGAATATGAATATGAATATGAATGAATATGAATGTGAATGAATGAATATGAATGTGAATGAATGAATATGAATATGAATGAATATGAATATGAATGAATGAATATGAATATGAATATGAATATGAATATGAATATGAATATGAATATGAATATATGAATATGAATGAATGAATGAATGAATATGAATGAATGAATATGAATGAATGAATATGAATGAATGAATATAATGAATGAATATGAATGAATGAATGTGAATGAATGAATGTGAATGAATGAACGAATGAATGAATGAATGACTGACTGGATGAATGAATGAATGAATGAAAGAATGAAAGAATGAATGAATGCATGCATGCATGCATGGATGGATGGATGAATGGATGAATGGATGAATGGATGAATGGATGAATGGATGCATGGATGCATGGATGAATGGATGAATGGATGAATGGATGAATGGATGAATGGATGAATGGATGAATGGATGAATGAATGAATGAATGGAATGAAAGGATGAATGAATGAATGAATGACTGAATGAATGAATGACTGAATGACCGAATGACTGAATGACTGAATGACTGAATGACCGAATGACTGAATGACTGAATGACTGAATGAATGAATGAACGAATGAATGAATAAATGAATGAATGAATGAATGACTGAATGACTGAGTCACTGAATGACTGAATGACTGACTGAATGAATGAATGAATGAAGGAATGAAGGAATGAAGGAATGAAGGAATGAAGGAATGAAGGAATGAACGAAGGAATGAACGAAGGAATGAATGAAGGAATGAATGCATGGATGGATGGATGAATGAATGAATGAATGAAAGAGTGAATGAGTGAATGAGTGAATGAGTGAATGAGTGAATGAGTGAATGAGTGAATGAGTGAGTGAGTGAGTGAGTGACTGAGTGAGTGACTGACTGACTGACTGACTGACTGACTGGATGAATGAATGAATGAATGAATGAATGAGTGAGTGAATGAATGAATGAATGAATGCAGAAATGAATGAATGAATGAATGAATGTATGAAGGAATGAAGGAATGAAGGAATGCACGCATGCATGCATGCATGCATGAAGGAATGAAGGAATGAAGGAACGAAGGACTGAAGGAATGAAGCAATGAATAAAGGAAGGAAGGAAGGAAGGAATGCAGGAATGAAGGACTCAGCGACCCAGTTGAAGTTCAAGCTTTTTCGAGAAGGGTTGCGTCAGTCGGCGAATCAGGGCAAGCGTGCAACTTCTGCTTCACAGAGTATACCATGTCTGAAACCAGTGGTGTATCGGTACCGTTCGGCATATCAGCGCTTCATGAGTGTGTCGGTGTTTGAAGACGTGCTCGGGCTCCGTTGATTTCAATCTGCTCCACCCTTGCACCAGCATCAAATCCGTAATCGGTAGAGCTCGCCTCAGCCTTTCGCCCCCAAGCCTTTAGGCCGCGAGCCATGGTCCCCGGGTGCATCCGCGTACGAGTCTGCAACGACGGCCCAAGCACGCATCACCTGGCCCGATACAGGCGCAGAAACAGACAGAGCCGGGCAGTCGGCCCTACAGAACTCCACTTTGGCCGAGGACGCCGCCGGTCGCGGGTCGATATCAAGGTACGGCACGTCGGGTAAATCAGCGTACTGGTCTGTGGCGGTGGCCCAAGCGCGCATCACCTGTACGGACACAGACACACAGAGCTGCACAGTCTGCTCTTCAGAACAGCTCTTCATTGCCCTTTGGAGCATGCGGCCTGGCGGGCACCTTTGTGTCGGGCATGAAATGCTCGCAAGACTTTGGCGGCTTCCCTTCCATCAGTGTCGGTTGCCGAAACAATTATCACAGAACCCAGATCGTTGGTCTGCTCGTCCAAGAAGCTTTGTGGACCTGGGCGTGCTCAACCACCCAACGACACTGGGAATGCAAACTGACTGCAATATTGTCTCCAGCACATATCTATGGCCACTGCGAAAGTTCTCAAGCCGGATGCGCTCCATGGCGAAGTCTTCAGTCTCCAGAAGCAACTTTTTGCCATCAGGATGAATGAAGGGGTACTCGCCCTTCGATCTTGCCTCAGCCCTTAGTGACACCGAGAAACAGGCATCTCCGCTTATGGCTTCTTAGTGGCGAGTCTGCGGCTGCCGACATACATGGACTGGGGCTTCGGCAGATCCTCCTCCAGAGCGGGATACTCGAGCAGCGTCATGGCATTGCCCACATCTGGCTGGATGCCCAACAGCTTCAGTCCTTTGGTACTGCGGTCGGGATGCAGAAGCAGCGAGCTGCACTCCGAATGAAAAGGCTCTCCGGTCTGATCCCGTGCAAAAAGCAACGCCTGATTCGTGTTCACCCTTCGACTTGAGTCCCGACTTGTTCACGCGCCGCCGCACACCAGAACCGCGTTGGTTCGCCTTTGCCGCCCGAACCGACAAGCACCCGCAGCCCAGCAACGCGAAGACTCTCGACTTCGGGCTTAGTTGAGGCTTGTGACGGGTAACGAGGCGGATACATGAAGCGGCAGCTCAGGTGTTTGAGGTGCGCCCAACAGTGTGGGAAGAGTCTGCGATCAGAAGTTCAGGCTGGATATGTTCTGGATGTGTTTCGAAGAACCCCTATTGTGATCCTGGACTCTCAGAGCAGTCGACTGCCGCTGCAGCCAATCCCCAACCGCGCAAGCCATGTACCGCCAAGCACATCCACACCCACAGTGCCAGACAAGCATCTGGTGGCCCCCTCGTCCACAGCAATCTGCATTTTGGCCATCACAGAGAAGCGGTAGAACGAATACCATCCGTACTGCTTCACGCCCTGGCCAGGTTCAGCCCCTGTACGTAGATGTTATAGCCGCTGCAAACCACTACTCGCGACGCGGCAACCGTCGCTCAGTTGCTCCGGTGACGGACCCCTGAAGCTCTCACTCTCCCTCGCCTTGCCCTCACGCCTCGGGGGCTCTTCGAAAAGCGGCATGAAAGCAAACTTTGCCTCGGCTCGGCTTCAAGCTTGAGGGTTTAGAGGGCGTGAAAGCGTGGCCAAACCTCGCGAGGCAAATGAGGCACCCACTCGCCCATGAGATCCTTGCAGTTCTTTTGCGCTGTTGTGATCCCGAACCACCCTCTTCACCTCGCCGACATCCTTCACGTCGCACGCAGCAATGATGACGGCAACACCGTCTGCCGTTCGTTCGTTGATCTCTTTGCCTTGCAAAGAGCGGGAGAATCTTTTGCACTTCGTGAAGAGGTGCCAACAGGGTCCGGACCCAGAGCTTTCAGGGAGATTTGCGAAGCCCAGTTGATCTTTTTGTAGTCAACGACCATCTTCCCGTCATCGTAGAAGGGATGCCTCTGCGATTCAAAAGCTTCCGACCTCCGCTGTGAGCGAGCTGCACATGCTCACGGCCGACTTCATATTCATATGGTCGGGATGCCATGTTCTTCCCACCATGTAAGTCGCCGACATGTCTTCTTGCAGCGTTCTAGCCGCTTTGAAAAGATAAGTATTCCTTAACTTGGGCTTGGTGGGCCGATTTAAGATCAGCATTTTGACTCCTCGAGAGCGTAGAAGGCAACTTCGAACAAAAACGCAGCTCAACTGCAGAACACGCGTAGGAGAGTCCTGGTACACCTTCATCGAAAGCGGACTGTATGATCGAGTACATCGCATGTCGATAATGGGAATACCAATATTCGGATTCGTATAGATCTCCCGCATCTGCCTGCTTCGTTCGCGTTCTTTTTGCTGCCTGCAACAGAGGCTTGTCTCGCCGCGAGCAGCGAGCAGTGCTTGCCAATTGCTGGACCGCGGATGAAGCCTTAAACCGACCCGGACTCTTCCTGCTACTTGAGAGCCACCAGCTGGCTACTCGAGAGCCTGTTTCTTTACCGGAAATAGCATTGCATATGTTTGGGGCGAAGACACGTGCCGAAGTCGCATGCCACCAAAATGGATGCCTCCAGGCGAGTTTTACGGCGACGCCGAATTGGATCTTAACTTTACAATCTGCCTTCAATCTCTGCACGCTTCACCTGTTCTTTGGTTGGCGAGTTTTGTTAACCCGAGTTGTATCAAACTAAATACACCTTGGATGCGAAGACGGCAGACTGTACCTGCAAACTCCCAAGGTCAAGCCAAGGCCAACACATCAGATTCTCTTGTTCATAATATCGGAGCGTAAGTTTTGCCTGTAGCATGGACGCACACGAGGATTGAGCTCAAGGCAAGGATGAACATTCTGCAGACTGCTCATGGGCAGTCAACAGGAAATTGGTCAACGTCAACGCCCTCTCTTAACTGAAGCTGTCTGGCAAAGCTGGCAAAAGTTTAATATGTCTTACCTCGTTCCTCGAATTTCTTATTTCATTGGACCTCGCTAGTTCAGTGCCTCGCCTACCTCGTAGGTCCGACCTCGTCCTTTATTTCAGCAGCTTGAATTTGAACCTGTGTTCTCCGAAGCAGAAGGGAAGGCGTCGACCATTCGGCCACGCTTGCCAAACGCCCCAAAAAGCAGCTAGTTGCAGGGTCCAGGGTCACGTGCGGCAGGCGAGGCAGGGCAGGCCAGGGCAGAATCAGCGAATTTGCCGGATCTGAGACGAATTTGTGGCAAATTTGCTGGATCTGTGAAGTTGGTTCAGGGCTGCTGGACAGGGCAAGAGGGCAGGGCAGGGGCAGCGCAGGGCTGGATTCTGCCCTCTGGCCATCAGGCAGCCCTTCCTGCAATCTCTGCCCTGCCTCCCCTGCCCTGCCCGCCCTCCCCGGCCCTCCCCTGCCGTGCCCTCCCTCTCCAGGGCCGAGTCGGATTCAGCAAACTTGCCGCACGGTCCTGCTTTGCAATTAGGATCATATTGCGGTATTTCGGGATGGCTACCTCATAATTCCCCCATGAGGTCTGCAATCCGCCAGAACTGCACTTTGGCCGAGGACGCCTGTCGTCGGGTGTCTCTGTGGAATGCTTGCAAGAGTTCGGTGGCTTCCCTTCCATCCGCATCGGTTGCCGAAACAATGATGACAGCATCATTGGTGTTCTGCTGCAAGGATTCACCTCGCGACCCAACAACAATCGGACTGCAAACAGCCTGCAGTGTTGTGTCCAACACAATGTTATGGCCGCTGCGAAAGTTCTCAAGCTGCATGCGCTCCATGGCGAAGTCGTCTGTCCCCAGAAGCAAGCTTTCGCCATCTATATCAATGAAGGGATACTTCCGCTTGCTTCTTGCTTCAGCCCTCAGTGGCATCGAGTCTCTCCCCTCATGGCATAATACAGCTGCCGAGGCTGCATCTTCCGATCGCATGCTCAAGGCAAAAACAAATCCCCTCATGCATCAACTCTGTTCTCATTCGCAGAACTGGGGCTTGAGCAGATCCTCTTCGAGAGTGGGATATTCCTGGACTGTCACGTGATTGTCCACATTTGGCTGGATGCCCATTAGCTTTAGTCCTTGATGCAAGACGGAGCAAAGGGCTCAGCAGTGTCCACAAACAAGCAGTTGACAATGTTGCATGTTGCCGCAGCTGTAGGCCACATGTGAGCTTCTACACAATCCCCCTGATGCTTGATCTGAAGAAAGCGGTGACATCTGCATGCAAGCCAAACTTGCACATTAACGGCAATGGTGTTTCCAATGCTTAAACAGTGTTCAATTTCCCCCTGCCAGCCCTACTACTTGTTCCTCTGCCGGAACAAGAGTCGTCCACTTCCCTGTAAGCTCGGATACCAACACTCACAGCCAACAGTCAACTGCAACTGCAGACCATCCCCAACCGCGCAAGCTATGTACCGCTAAACACATCCGAACCCACAGTGCCAGACAAGCATCTGGTGGCCCCCTCGTCCACAGCAATCTGCATTTTGGCCATCACCGAGAAACGGTAGAAGGAATACCACTTGTACTGCCCGATGCCCTGGCCAGACTGATCCCACGCAACCCCTTCCTTTAAGCAGCACGGCTTTAATTAGCGGCGCCACGACAGGCTTAGCTACCGAAGCGTCATCCGCCGCCAACTCAGTAGTTCTCGGAAGCACTGGTTCCTGTAAAGAACTCTGAAGCTCTACATCTCGCTCCTCGATCTCACGCGCTGGGGAATCTTCGAATAGCGGCATGAAAGCGAACTTTGCCTCGGTTCCGGCTTAGGGCTTGTACAGTAGCAGCATCGTGCTCAGGATCTAGGTACTAGCTCTGTCAGGCCCCGCGAAACCGTGGCTAGTGCCCCAAACAAGTGAGGCGCGAACACGCCCGTGAGATCCTTGCAGTTCCTTTGCGTTGTTGTGCGCCCGAACCGCTCTCTTCACCTTGCCGACATCCTTCACGTCGCACGCAGCAATGATGACGGCACACCCATCTGCCGTTTGTTTGTTGATCACTTCGCCTTGCGGGAGACGCTGTTGCACTCCATGACGACCGCAGCGGCATGCAGCCACTGAGGCCCAAACTCAGGTCTTTCAGGGCGATTCCGCATGAAAAATCTATTTTTTGGAAGTCCAGGACCATCTCTCCGGCGTCGTCAAAGGGGTGCTTCTTGGATTTGAAAGCTTCCACCCTCGGGTTGTGAGTTGGTATTATGTCCTCATCACCGATCACTTTACAGCCTCTCTAGCTGTTTCCGAGCTAAGTCGCCGACATATGTATATGCAGCTTTTTGGCTGCGGCGAAAAGATATTCAGCCTCCCGGTCACGTTTGGTGGCCCAAATCAAGCTCAGCATCTTGACTCCTTGAAAAACTGGGGAGCTGCAGCACGGGCGTGGAAGGCAACTCCGAACAAGAATGCACTCCAGCAGAACAGCAGAAGAATCGTTAGGAGAGTCCTGGTGCACCTTCATCGAAAGCGGACTGTATGATCGAGTACATCGCATGTCGATAATGGAAATACCAATCTTCGTGCTCTGCGGCCTGCAACAGAGGCTTGTCTCGCTGTAGCCTTAAGTGGACCCGGACACGGACTCTTATTGCTACCTGAGAGCCACCAGCTGGCTGTCTGTTTACCGGAAATAGCATTCCATATGTTCAGGGCGAAGACACGTGCCGAATTCGCATGGAACCAAAATGGATGCCTCCAGGCGAGTGTTGCGGTGATGCCAATTTGGGTCTTAAGTTTACAATCTGCCTTCAAGCACTCTGTGCGCTTCACTTGTCTTTGGTTGGCGAGTGTTGTTAACCCGAAGGCATGGATGCAAAGACGGCAGACTGCACCGCCCAGGTCAAGCCAATGCCAAAGCATCTGCTAGGACTATTGATACTTATTCTTATCTTCATGCAATGTTCAACTCTCTTGTTCATGATATTGGAGTATCAGTTTTGCCTGCAGCGTGGACGCACACACGAGGATTGAACACAAGGCACGGCTGAACACAGACTGCCCATGGGCAATCAACAGGACGTTGGTCAATGTCACCGCCCTCTCTTAACTAAAGCTTTCTTGGAAAGTAACAGCTCTCAGGAGTCCACGAATCGGGGCGACGGAGGAGCCCGCAGGGCCGAAGCTACACCCACCAACGACAGCTGCAAAACAACTTGGAACCATACGACGTGAGCATCCAGACTCCAGGCCCCGACCCTGAGCCCCAAACAATGTGGAGCCTGCTTGGAGGTCGCGGCTTTGCAAGTTTCTTCGTTGGAATTGCGATGCTGCCTGGGGGCTGATGCGGCAGTGGACTTCCTGTGAAACTGCACAAAGATTGAGAAGTCGCACCGGTGCAAGGCTGAAGGCTGAGCTCAAAGCATCGGAGGATGGCTCTGCGAGCCTGGACTCATGACCAGGCCACGGACGGCGACATGACGGCACGTTGAAACTCTAGAAATCGATAAACCGGGTCAAGTAGGCTGCGTGCTGCGCTGTCAACCCTGATTCGCCGCTTTTGCATATTGTGGGCATGCCGAGGCTCCTTTCAAGGCAATGTTGTTTGGGACTTGCGACGTGTCTTAGCATTCGTGGAGTGACTCTTTAAACGACTATCCTGTAAGGGGTTGGTTCCGTCACCCTTCCGTTCCGTTCCACGTCAAAGGCAGCCACTCCCGACCCAGTTGAAGTTCAATCATTTGCGACCGGGCTTTCGTCAGTCGGTGAATCAGCGCAAGCACGCAACTTAATTACGCTTCACAAGGTATGCCGATGCTGTACGACTCTATGCACATGTCTGACACCAGTGGTGCATAGGTATCGTTCGGCATATCAGCGCAAGACAGCTCTGCCACCGATCGCAAGAAATAACTTCGTAAGTATTCGTAAGTCGTATTCAATCAGCTCCACCCTTGCACCAGAATCAAATCTGCAATCGGTAGAGCTCGCCTCAGCCTTTCGCCCCTAAGCCTTTTAGCCGCGAGCCTGGGTCGCTGGGTGCATCCCGGTACGAGTCTGCGACGATGGCCCAAGCGCGCATCACCTGGTCCGCTACAGGCGCAGAAACAGACAGAGCCGTGCAATCGGCCCTACAAAACTGCACATTGGCCGAGAATGCGGCCTGTCGTCGGGTGCCTTCGTGTCGGGCATAAAACTCTTGCAAGACTTTGGCGGCTTCCGTTCCATCAGCATCGGTTGCAGAAACAATGATGACAGCGTCGTTGGTGTGCTGGTACATGGATTCACCTAACCACCCAACAACAGTCGGACTGCAAACAGCCTGCAATGTTGTGCCCAACACATCTATGGCCACTGCGAAAGTTCTCGAGCCGGATGCGTCCCATGGTGAAGTCTTCCAAAAGCAACTTTGCGCCACCTACGTCAATGAAGGGGTACTTGCCATTCCATCTTGCCTCAGTCCTTGGTGACATCAAGAATCTCCGCGTGTGCCTCCGTAGTGCTGGCGAAGGACAGAGGCTTGAAGCTGGATCTTCCGGTCGCCCTAGCTCAGTGCCATCACATGCTCACATGACTGGGGCTTCGGCAGATCCTCCTCCAGAGCGGGATACTCGAGCAGCGTCATGGCATTGCCCACATCTGGCTGGATGCCCAACAGCTTCAGTCCTTTGGTACTGCGGTCGGGATGCAGAAGCAGCGAGCTGCACTCCGAATGAAAAGGCTCTCCGGTCTGATCCCGTGCAAAAAGCAACGCCTGATTCGTGTTCACCCTTCGACTTGAGTCCCGACTTGTTCACGCGCCGCCGCACACCAGAACCGCGTTGGTTCGCCTTTGCCGCCCGAACCGACAAGCACCCGCAGCCCAGCAACGCGAAGACTCTCGACTTCGGGCTTAGTTGAGGCTTGTGACGGGTAACGAGGCGGATACAGGAAGCGGCAGCTCAGGTGTTTGAGGTGCGCCCAACAGTGTGGGAAGAGTCTTCAATCAGAAGTTCAGGCTGGATATGTTCTGGATGTGCTTCGAAGAACCCCTATTGTGATCCTGGACTCTCAGAGCAGTCGACTGCCGCTGCAGCCAATCCCCAACCGCGCAAGCCATGTACCGCCAAACACATCCACACCCACAGTGCCAGACAAGCATCTGGTGGCCCCCTCGTCCACAGCAATCTGCATTTTGGCCATCACAGAGAAGCGGTAGAACGAATACCATCCGTACCGCTTCACGCCCTGGCCAGGTTCAGTCCCTGTACCTAGATGTTAACTGCTGCAAACCACTATTGGCTCGTGACGCAGCAACCGTCGCTGAGTTGCTCCGATGACGGACCCTGAAGCTCTCACTCTCCCACGCCTTAGGGGTCCTCGGGGGCTCTTCGAAAAGCGGCATGAAAGCAAACTTTGCCTTGGTTCGGCTTCAAGCTTGAGGGTTTAGAGGGCATGAAAGCGTGGCCAAACCTCGCGAGGCAAATGAGGCACCCACTCGCCCATGAGATCCTTGCAGCTCTTTTGCGCTGTTGTGCTCCCGAACCACTCTCTTCACCTCGCCGACAGCCTCCACATCGCACGCAGCGATGATGACGGCCCACCTGCCTGCCGTCCTTTCATTGACCTCTTTGCCTTGCAGACAACAAAGAAGATGCTGTTGCAATCCGTGAAGACTGCAGCTGCGACCAGGGCCCCGACGCAGGGCTTTCAGGGAGATTTGCGAAGCCCAGTTGATCGATGTGTAGTCAACGACCTTCTTCCCGTCATCGTAGAAGGGGTGCGCCCGCGATTTAAAAGCTTCCGACCTCCGCTGTGAGCAGGCTGCACATGCTCATGGGCGACTTCATACTCATATGGTCGGGATGCCATGTTCTTCCCACCATGTAAGTCGCCGACATGTCTTCTTGCAGCCTTTTAGCCGCTTTGAAAAGATAAGCACGCCCCAAGTCGAGCCTGGTGGGCCGCTTTAAGATCAGCATTTTGACTCCTCGAGAGCGTGGAAGGCAACTTCGAACAAAAACGCAGCTCAACTGCAGAACACGCGTGGGAGAGTCCTGGTGCACCTTCATCGAAAGCGGACTGTATGACCGAGTACATCGCGTGCCGATAATGGAAATACCAAAGGTTGTATAGCCACGATTGTTTTTCTACCTGCAACAGAAGCTTGTCTCGCCGCGAGCAATGCTTGCCAATTGCTGGACCGCGGATGAAGCCTTAAACCGACCCGGACTCTTCCTGCTACTTGAGAGCCACCAGCTGGCTACTCGAGAGCCTGTATCTTTACCGGAAATAGCATTCCATCTCTTCGACGCGAAGACACGTGCCGAATTCGCATGCCACCAAAATGGATGCCTTCAGGCGAGTTTTGCGCCGATGCCAGTAGAAGCAGCAGAGGCAACAGAAGCTTCCCATTAAGCTTGCTGACCTTGGGATGCCACTTGATAACAAGCGCACTGGCAGCCCATAGCGACATGAGGACTCGACCCGTTCCTGAACCATTTCAGCATGCTCTGAATAGGCGCGGACATCTGCTGCCGAAGCGCACTGCGGCCCAAAACCACGGCTCCTCGAGAATCCAAGCCTGCAAGGCACTCCAAGCCAGATTCCAAGCAGCCAGGCCTGTTGTGCGAATGCTCCGATGCAACCACCAAACCCTGGACCCCGGTCTCAAACCTCAAACACGCCCGGCCTTCATGGAACTGCCTTACCTGGTGGAAGCGGTGGAAGGTGCTAGCAGCCCGGGCCGGCCGCAAGCAGCTCAAGGACGAACCATCCGGGGAGCCGCAGCATGCATCTTGTGGACACCCTCTGGCTCGTGGCTGCTGCTCTTAACTTGAGCCAAACGGGCTTCAAAAGGGCCTAAGGCGGGCTTCGGCTGCCAAGCCTCAAGGATCCACGCAAGCGAGCCGAGCCAGCGTTGTTGGATCACTTGCAAAGAGGAGGGTTCCCGGCGGGAGAAGAGCAAGCTAAAGTGATCTAAGCCATCATGCACCTTGGATCCCGCTCTCGCACCTCCTCCTGCTCACATTCAGGCAAGAATTTTGAGTCAAGAGTGCGGAAATAGCAGAGATGTGTCTTGACTGAGCTCGTTTTTGCAGGCAACTATGTTGAGGCTCAAATAGCTGGACTAGCAGACTAGCACTATCCAATTGGTGTACAGTTGGATCAAATTGGATACCTTCTTAGTCTTGACTCTTGCAGTGAAGGCTTGCATGTGCTCCAAGCCAAATCCCTTCGGGATTGGCATGGAGGCCAGCCAATCAAATTGGCCCACCAGTGAGCATGAAGGAGTGCATCACGTGCAGTTCTGAGGCTTGAAATGCTTGCACTCGAAGAAGGCAAGTTTGACTGTTCAGACTGCAGCACTCATGCAGCTACAGTACCTGCTTTTTCCGGCAGCACGAAGGAAGCGCCGGGAAAGGCCACCAGCGTCTCAAGGCCTCCCAGCCAGGAATCGAAGCCCCGAACTCCACCCAAGAGCCACCACCGGCGTCACTGCCCGGCCCGGCCTCGGATCAAAGGACGAGGGTTCTCTCGACCGCTGGCAGCGCATCGAGGACGGCCCGGAGCTTCTTCTTCTCCTTGTCGCCTGGTTTTTGACAAACGCCAAATTGGGAAGAGCTCGCCTAGAGCGGGGAGAGCAAAACGGTGGGAGGTTGCGCAGATGAGATCACTAAGGGCTTCTCCCTTCTTCAAAATCAAGAGCAGCACCAGGGCAGGGTCAACCGGACGACGCGACATGACGCGACCTTTGGAGCAGCCACCGGGGCCCGGGCCGATGCCGTTCTTCTCCAGACGAACCTCGAGCTCAGCGAGCTGCCAGAGCGCTCGCAGGGCCTCAGCCACGGCTGTGGCACCTTCTGGGCCACTTCCGGTATCGGCAGTAATGGGGAGAATGGGAATGGGGCTCTTCTTCAGTTCGGGTGCTCAGAAAGAGGATCCAAGGCTTGGATGAATGTCACACTCAACACTCAAAAGCAGGCTGCGGGCCCAAGGCGCAGAGCGGCAAAGCTGCGGATAGCTGCGGATAGCTCCGGATAGCTGCGGATAGCTGCGGGCTGAGGCCCCGGGCCCAAGGAGTTGACATGCAGCCACAGCTTCAGCCGCTTGAGCTCCGTCTGGCGCTCGAGGCCCCAAGCCAGGGCTCGGGCCTCGCCAGCGCAGAGGCGGAGGGAAGTTCTCACCCTTCGAGGCTCGGTGAGGCCGTTGCCGAGGCGCCGAAGCGGCTGTTCCAGCCGAGCTTGAGCTCGAGCTCTTGGAGCTGTGCTCCCGTCCCCCGTAGCCATCGCAAAGTGCTGCAGAGTGGTTGGAAGAGCTTCTCCAAAGCCAGGGGCCTCGGAAAGCGCGCCGGTGCCGATTTAACGGAGGCCTCGAGGCCTCTCTCCGGAGCTGAGCCGGCGGCTGTAAAAAGTGATGTCCACTTCGGCGAGCTGTTTGAGTTATTGGTCCTGTCCCAGGTGCAGGGCGCGTGCCATCAACCCTCAGCACTTCGGGCGCCGCAGGCGTGAGGAACGACAGCGCGAGCCTCGCACTCGAGCAAGAACTGTGCCACGGGGTGGGCGACATGGCCTTTCACCTGAACACAGCCGCAAAGAGTGAGCGGGAGTGGGAGCCAGAACAAATGAATGACGTCGAAATCTCTCTATACTGCATGGCCGCGAGGCCTCGCCTCCCCGGAACGGAAGGCCCTGGCCAGCGCGACAGCGCCCTTTCCGATGTCGCTGTCACCCATGTCACTCAGATCGAGCTGCGTCGACGCTGGGCGCATCGCTCGGAGGGCATGCAGAGCGCTGCTACCGAGAGCATACAATGCGCGGCTCCCCGAACGGGAGTATAGATGTAGCTGCAAGATCCAAAAAGCTCAGGAAAGCAGAGGTTTGGGAGTCGGGCCGGGCGCTTGCTCACAAGCTGTTGCGGCGGGCCTCCAGCAAGGAGAGCGCACCCTCCTCGCCTCATGCAAATCTTCTGCCACAACCTAATGCCATAACATGTTGCATGTGCAGCAAAAGCATAGATACTAGGCCCATGTGAGCAGTCTAAACTTCTTCAAAGGGCGTTGTTTATGTGGTATAGAGTACCAACAGTACTAACCTAATTAGTCTAGGGCTTAGATGCCAAGACTGTAGCCCGTGGATCCCTTTTATCCTGGGTGTGACACAATGTGTGTTCTGCTTCGCCCCCCCTTAACCTTCAGACCTTGGCAAACCTTGCCTTTGTCCCCATGAACTGTCAAAGACATCAGCCCCTCCCATGTTCATGGCAGTCCCTTCAATGCCCTCCCTGCCCGTAAAACCTCGCCCATCTGCTCAACCAGAGTCTCGGGCTGGCAAGGCCCGCATTCCCCTGTTTCTTAATGTTAATGCGCGGCAATCTTAAGCTGAACACGGTGAATCGCACTGCACAGACGATCAGTGCATGCGCATCTGGTCATGCTCGCGATACAGACGCGTAAACCCGCTCTGGATCTGGCGTTTACTAGAAACCGACATGCAGGCATGACCAATTTGACCTTTGGTGTGAAACATATTTAAAACACTTGTGACTTTCGTAGGTGCAGTCAGCATCAAGGATTTCTGCAGGCCCTGCTTTGGGGCACTGCATGTCTCGGCGGCTGCAACGCTCAGCGTTTTGCCTCAGGCACAGAGTGTGGCCTCAGGCAGATGCGCACCGTTGCAACAGCACGTAGTTGAGCCTTGTAAGAACTCGATCATTTGTCGTTCATCTTTGTGATCAGAGCCCAGATGTTTTGAACCTCAAAACGGGTTGTTTCAGTTTATTGGAATAACTAGAGGAGCAAGTGGCCAGCCAAACCTCAGGTGCAGCCACAAGGCAGCCCAGGCCCGTGCTGGCATGCTTAAAGAAAAATCGTTTTTCACATGTTCAATACAAAGATCAAAGGAGCATACTAGAATTGCTAGAATTACTAGAACTGCCGGAAAGACGCGCGAGACGGCGCACAGCGGCAGCCCAATTCACTGAGGAGCCCGTTGTCCTGACTGCAAAGACAGAAAATCTCAAGATGTCCATGTCTTGGCCCAACCGCCTGTCATTTTATGTTCGACCATGCCTGTGCGTCAAGCTCATGTCTCCATCTCCTCTCATCCACTTTGGCATGTCTGCCGGAAATCTCTCTTCTGTCTCATGCGCCTGTTGAGCATAGCCCCTGCCATTCCACGTGCAAGCTGGACTGCTTGGACTTCACGTTGCTGCACCTGTCTGAGGGTTCCTTCCCCCTGCCAAAGTCCTCAATGGCAACGTCCTCTTGTGGCAACTCTTGTGGAGATTCTTCCATGCCTCTCACTAGGCCAAGTTGGAGGTTGGAGGCTGATGGTGCCAATATCTCAAAGTACAGAACGCAACCAAGTACAAGCCCCTGTTGATATTACCGTAGCAGGCACAAGACTAGAAAGGGCTATGAGCACTCGCGCGGCTGCCAGATGCTGCGTCGACTAGACTAGCCGAACCAGCTCACGACATTTGGACAGGCTCTGAAGCGTGCCTTTGAGTCGACAACTCCGTCCAGTGGGACGATTCACCTAAGTCTCTGCTGCAAGTGTTCCCGGCGAGCACTTCGCAACATGGGCAAGCATCTGTACACCTGAGCAGCCTCGGTCACAGCCTTCGGTGACGAATCAAGTCAGTCCAACGCTTTCTGCATCATCCTCACCAGCATCAACACCATCATCATCTCCTTCTGCTAAATTCACAGCTGCCACTTATCCTTCACGAAATCATGTGGATGTGTCGGTTGACTCTATATGAAACTGAGGCAAGCAGTTTCTCAGAGCAACTTCGAGCACGGATTGACACCGAGCCCAGCACCACACCGAACCTGTCGGCAACGCCGTGAACATCTGTCGGCCCACCTCGCGGCGCGGGTTCCAAAGCCCTAGGAGGGTTGTGGGGGGAGTTGGATTGTGGTGGACATGGACCAAAAGATCGCCACTGCCCTGCTGCCCTACGTGACCCAGGTGGCCCTGGACGCGGCCCTGGCCATCCGGGACAAAAAGAACTCTGCATCTGAAAGCTTGTTGCATGCACGCGCCGCCACTCTACATCAGCTACACAGAAAAGTCTCACTATCCCAATACACGGCGAGGCACCCTTCCCATTCAACGAAGAAGAGTCGACCTGAGCAGGATATTTCACTCATTTTTGCAGTTGTTAGACCAGTGCAAGTATAGTAAGTCCAAATCCTTCCTATGGCCGTGTATCATTAACTGGAAGGAAAATCCAAGTGTCCGCCAACGTGCCACTCAGAGTCCTGTATCGGTGTGTTTATGACATGGTCTGGAACCTTAAAGCCTCCCTAGGCTCGCTTGTGTTGAGAGTTGGAATTGCGTCTCCAGGCTTCACCATAAGATAGGAGTTTCCGAAAATGGGGGACCCTAATATAGTACCCTAAATAATAGGATCCTTATTATTTATAAGGACCCCAAAATAAGGTACCCCTAATTTCCGGAAACCCCCAGATGTACTTTAGCATATGCAGTCAGCACAAGAATCCTCCAACTTATTCAACCCTGGTCGCTGAAGCATCTTGAACCCAACCAAGCACCCGATCAGCCAAGACCCCCAATTGCCTCTAGAGACTAATTAAACACAAAAACCCTGTTTATACTGAGCCCTAAAGCTACAATCAACGTCGCAGGATGTTTTGGGCCAGCTGCATCCCTCTCCAAGTGCTCCAAGCCTCCAGGCATTCACAAACGCATATGGTCCGCTGCACCAGAAGAAGACTCGCGGTGCATGTGAGGCATGTCAAATGGGTCGAAGCCAAGCACCTCAACTAGGGACCTGATTCAGCACGGAAGCTGCAATATGTTGCAATTCTCGAAACATGGGAGGTGCAACAAGCGGAGGAATGATGTTCATCACTGAGGCTCTGACATTACCAGCAACTACCAGAAACTACCCATAAGAAGATGAGAATCAAGCTGCAAGTCCCCCCCAGCCATGCCTTGCGAGAACGCCTGTCCGCTCAGGGCGTAGCTAGGGCACGGGGGTTTAGGCTGCTGCTTTTTGGTGACTTCTGGGGTTTCAAGGGCCTCGAGGCTTGAGGTTCTCCAGATTGGAGGATGATGTAGCAAATCCTATCGCTTAGGTGTTCCCCAGGATGCGCTTTGCATGCAAAGGACACAAAAAACTACAGAAGCATGCGCCTGCATGAACATGAACCCTTGTAAGGTTTTTCAAGGGTTCCCGGATCCCCACTGTCAAACAGCCTGATTACAGGGATGGATGGCTTCTGAAGGGATTGACATCTAAAGCAATGTCCCACATGTTACCAAAAAGGAGATCTTCCAACAAACGAGATTTCGCAAAACTGTGTATAAATTGCCTCTTGTAACCACACAAAGTAGGTTCCTTCTGATTTCATCCAGATGCTCGCGACTACTGGGCCTGCTAGTATTGCACACCTGAACACAATAGCATCTCTGTTCTGGATCCTAACAGTCCAACTCATGTGGAACATTCTGATTAGTCGAGCCGGCTCCTTTTAGTGGCTTGGACGCCTGGTAACTATTTTGCGGATGGCTTTTTCCTGTATGGAGGAGCGGACCACGGCTCAACTACATCAAAACGTAGGGTTGGTCGGACCTTACAGGAGTTTGCTAGATTTTAACATGCGTTCTGGAATGCTCATCGGATCTTATGGGGTCTCAAAGGAAGTCTAATCAGATCTTAATGGGAGCAGTGCCTAGCATATGAATAAGGCTCTGCAGGGTTCTGTATTTGGCAAAAGCTTTACAGAGCTTTCTGGGTGTAACCATGCTTTCATAAGGTTTTAAAGCTTCCAGAATGGTTTCAACGATTGTTCTTGTACGCGTTTAGGGGTGTACGAGCTTCTTCTTTAAAGTGTCTGGCTTGCGTCGCCGTCTCATAAGGCTTCATAAGATCGTGATATGGATCTGGTATTCTGTGATGTTCATATGGTTTTGTAGGCTTTGAAAAGGTGTTGTTGGGTCTAAGTAAAACTTCCAAAACCGTGTACAGGGTCTGACAACATCTTGTACAGTGGCTTCAATTGGGTTTAACTGTGCCTTCACACGGCTTTCATGAGGCAAGAACGTGATCTTGAAAGGTTGTGATCGGTTCTCTGGTATAGTGGTTTAAAGCTTTCATACGCTTTTCATCAGGTTCCGCAGGGTTGTAGAACGCAACAAACTTCAAGTTTAACCCACCTTCTTTTGTAAGCTGCCCGAAACTCCAAACGGAATCAATGTACACGATCGCATGGGAATCTACAGAACTAGCCAGGAAATCTTCATGCGCTTCAATCTGCGTCGTCAGGAAGTTAAAGCAATCTCGGCGCGAGGATTTTCCCCTTCTAGGAAGGTCGAGCTGAAGGATCATAAACTTATCCAATCTTTATGTGCAGAGAGTCCCTACATACTCCTTTATTATACTCTTTGGTTACCAAGCCTGAAGGACCTCTGGTGGCAAAGTGCCCGGAGTATGGCCTAAGGGCGCTTCTTTCAACATGTAGAGAAGCACATCCCCAAACCGACGCGTGGCTCAGAATACCCGCGCTTGGACAAATGAACCAAAACACTTAAAGCATCACAGTTACTCTGGAGCACTCAGATTGGTGCGCGCCTCAAAACCTCGATCTTTATTGATGGGCCGCAAAACCAAGAAGGGGTATCAATTACTCTTCCCAAAGAAAGCTTAACTTCAGTCTCTTTCCAAAGACCATGTGTCCGGTGTGTCCGGAATCTTGACCTTACCTTGCGAACCTCAAGGTTCCCAAAGCTAAAGCATACGGCACTTGGTCCTTAATGAATTGTACCCATGAATGATAGGATGGGCAATGGAACCCTGATCTTACTGAACCCCCTTGTAAATACCAGAGAAATCCATGCAACAGATCACAAAAGTATACAAAAGTATACAATCAAATCCTGGAAGCCCCCCTTCCAAAAGGCCACAGAGATTGAGCCCTCTTAACACTCAGCCATACTCAGCCGCTCGGCCTTGCTCAAAGGAGTGAATGTGTCATTGATTTCTGATGTAAGCGTGTCCACCAGCCCGTCCTCAAAGCAGCTCAAAGTGCAAGGCTTAGTCTTACGCAGGGACGTAACGGCCTTGTTAGGGCCCTAAACCCAAAACCCTAAAAGCCGCAGAAGGGTTTGGAGGCTTTTGGACCGATCTCCGATTTTTTTATTGCGAGGACCTTATACCACAAGAACGGTCAGGGTCTCATTTTCTGCATCTGCACTGAGTATGCGAAAAAAACAACTTTGTTACAGGGGCCGCGTTGGCAACTGTGAGGCTCTTCGGCCCCTCGCTGACATCCCAAGCAGGTGATCCTTCCTGAGGCCAGAATGTACTGTCCGGCACCTTGATCACCTTCGTGATCGGATGCAACCTCACCAGAGGTCATCACCAGCCTTGCGGCCCCTTCACTAGAATCACTAGAAAAAGCAGACAGTTCCATCGTTGCTTGGCAAAGTGAAATTGAAATCTGCAAGGCCCTTTCCCATTTTTGAATCGGTCTCGACATGACCTCAAACAATCAACGCTGGATCGTGGAGGGCCCCGTGCATGTTCCAATGACGTTTTTGTGTGCAGAGATCTGGAAGGACGGCCAAAGTGTGGTAAACAGAGTTCGGGAGATTTCGGGCTGGAGTTGTCCGGATAGGCTTTTCCTCTGAGTCTAGGTGCGGCTGTATGGTTTCAGGTTGAAGACGTTAAGGTTTTGCCGTCAGCGTTGAGGATTTAGAGTTGCAATTTGCAAGTGCAACAAACGGGATGCTCTGCACTTAAAGACGGCATCCTCAGTCCTAAACTCATAGAACAGGGTTCACGGGGTGCTCTTACCACGACCATACTGTCTCCAGTACTTTGCATGAAAGTGTTCCACCAAAATGCACCAAGAGCTTTTGATGTTCTTTGCCTGCTGACGGGATTGAGGGAACCCATGCTGTCCTTCTGGACTGAAGATGACACCATCGCCTTCCGCAAAGGTTGACGCTTAACCGAGTATCGGGGAGGACCGCAGGGAATGATTACATGGCTAGTTCTCTACGGGTTTATGGGTTTATGGGTTGCCCTGAACCTCCAAACACTCTCTCGCGACGAGCTGGAAAAGATTCCTTTCTGAAAGCACCTCCACATGTAGCATGGAGGCTTCTGGGAAGTCTAGGGCTTCAGGGCTACGTGCTGGGGATTGGGACTTAGGAGTGCAGTTTTAAGCATGTTCTTGGAAGTACGGAGAACCAAACTCTGGTGAGTCGAGGCTTCTCGCTACATGCCGCAGTGCGGGAGTCTTCTAAGAACTACTATCTAGTAGGTAAAAACTAGGGGGGCCCCGCACCCCGAGAGACCACTGCAGAACCCCTACTTGGTCAACCCAAAAATGTGTCATAGGTTAGGCACCACGGCACCAACCCCCCCCCCCCCATACCCCTCGTTTTGCGAGAATTCTAAGGGAAGCATCAACGCGATTGATCAGCTTCCTTTGCTCTTTTGCTCAAACAGACTGGAGAGTTTTGGGCGTGGCAGTTGAAGCCGAGTCTCTTACAGTATATAGAATCCTTCCAGTTAGCACGGTTCCTGCGGCTTCTCATCTCATCTTGTTTGATCTGTGGTACTGTAGCATGTTCTTGCTGTGCCATGCGGGGCTGTGTCTGGGGCGCCAAAAGGCCTCATTGACCTGAATGTAGGCTTCGTTGATGATAGCAATGAAGAGGTTCACCAAGACAAGGATGATGACGACCTGCTTCATCAAACAGTCAAACAGTGGGTGTGTGTAGCGGCTGAGCTCTCTGCCGCTCAAGCTCTGCATGCACTAGAGGTAAATGAGGGCAAAGCTCACCACTTCCGCTACACTGCCAACTCATCACTGCCAAGCCGAGCAGCCATGAAAAGAAGGAACCACATGGTCGCCTCGGTGGTCGCATGCTTGCCATAACCCTGGAGCACCAGCTTACATTTCTCGAATTTATTTAAGCTCATCTGTGTCCTGGAGCCTCGTGGCCTATCAGGTAGCGGAGCGCCGAAGATCCATCAGAGAAGCATAACTTGCCATCTGAGCGACGCTCACGGGTGCTATTGCGAACATGCCCATGAAGTCCACGTCACCCATGAGAACCTCAGAGCAAGCGTCCTTAAGAGGCCCCTTTTTCGGAGGGCTCCGCATAAAGATCCTACTGGCCGGTCCAGAGCCAACAGGTCAAGCAGCCCGCAGGGCTGATGTCAGCGGCAGAACACTGGAAGACCAATCATAGATGATGTGCCCGAAGAGGAAGTGAGCCTCGTCGCCAGAGTGACTAGCGAAGCCCTGCAATAGGAAAGCTGGGTCAGCTGGGCTGCTCCCATCGCAAAATTGGCAAAGACAACGAAGAAGGCCTCAGAGCACGCTCACAAGCAGGAAAGGCTTCAAGCGTCGGCCCGGAGAGGTTTGGATTGGCGGTTGGACGAACCCCATTAACCCCATTAAAACTCCTTTAACATCAATCCAAGTCAAAATTCCGTCACAATCCCTGAATTTCTGCATCCTGCGCTCAGTCCCACCTTCAAGCCATTTTCAGTTCTGAGCCGTGCGCAAAGAGGAACCAAGCCAAGGGCTCCCTGGCCTGACGCGAGAACGAAGACGCAGAAAGATCCAACAATACTGCTGATGGACAAAATCCTGCATGACCCATTATACGGAATATACCATAGCTCCAATAGGTTAGAGTCTTTAGGGTCATGCATCACTTTGTCCATCAACAGTACGAAGAGCTATTCGCTTGCCCGGACAATCCAAACGTGTCAAACTCAAAACAGATTGGCTCGAAACATGGAAGTTCATCAGATGTCTCGAGGAGAGCACAGGAAAGAAAAGGCCATTCGGTGTTTGTTCATATAAATGCTTCAATCGGTTTACGTGGCATGCCTGGTGGGGTCTACGTGGGTTATGTGTTTCCATGATGTAGGTGCTTTGAGCTGGCCTGCACGAAGGTGTCCATGAAGACCTTCAAGTGTTGCTCGAGCTGGAAGCCCTGCCCAAGTGCATAAACCTCATAAAGGCTTTGTATAGTCCTTAAAATGAAAACCCAGTCAACTAGATTTCAACAGCCCCTAAAAACAAAAATGCAGGACAACATCAACTTGCATGGGAACCCGGGGCAGCAGCATCTTAGCACGTTCTCGACAAGCAAAGGACATGGAAAGCGGTGGTTGAACCTCAATGATCCTCACCAGTATCAGGAGGAGGTACCAGAATCCTCAGACATGCCCCCAGAACTCAATACACACTCCTGCTTAGTGCATACACAAAAGGAACGCGCTAGGCCACTACACCCCAGCTGGATGGACCCCAGCGGCTTCCCAGTTGGGCACACCGGCTTCTCAGATTTGACTCGGGGCTTGACGAGGTCTACACGTTACACTCTCAGACTGCACTTGGTGGCCGCAAGGCCCCAAAGCCCACATGAACATGTGAATCCCATCAGCACAGCATCAGAAGCTGATCCTTTGCCCCCCAGAGACAGCCCTATGAGTCCGAGGCCCATCCACTGCGATACTCTGAACATCTCAGACAGAACGGCGGCCCTGCCACGCGTCTCCACGAACAAAAAGAGTCAGCAATGAAAACAACACTTAATGTATCAGATGCCTGCTGTGAACATCGTCCAGCGTCGCATGCCACCTCTCCCGAGAAGCCGATGTCAAGTCAGGGTGGTAGCCTGTCCATTCCACTGCAGGATGCTTTATCCCCCCGGACCTGCCCTCAAGTTGTCGTTGTCTTTGTTGATAGCTGCGCTCCCCTACTAACCGTCTAATACTCCTGGTTTCTTTACCTTTCTTTGGGACGGGAATGACATTCAAGATTGCAGTGTCTAATCTCAACACTATTACGGCTGGTCACTGCGAAGAGACACACTGTGCCGATTGAAGTAATTGAAACGAATGACATTGCCATCAGGGACAGAATTCAATGTTTTTAGTGCACTTTCTGGGGAAAGTCTAATTCAAAATCCAGCCTCTGCACGTTGAAGAGGTTCCATCGTGAAGAACATGTGTGCGTTGTGTGTTTGTGTGTGTGTCTCTGTGTGTGTGTGTGTGTCTGTGTCTCTGTGTCTCTGTGTCTCTGTGTCTCTGTGTCTCTGTGTGTCTGTGTGTCTGTGTGTCTGTGTCTCTGTGTCTCTGTGTCTCTGTGTCTCTGTGTCTCTGTGTATCTGTGTGTCTGTGTATCTGTGTGTCTGTGTGTCTGTGTGTCTGTGTGTCTGTGTGTCTGTGTGTCTGTGTGTCTGTGTGTCTGTGTGTCTGTGTGTCTGTGTGTCCGTGTGTCTGCGTGTCAGCGTGTCTGCGTGTCTGCATGTCTGCGTGTCTGCGTGTCTGCGTGTCTGTGTGTCTGTGTATCTGTGTGTCTGTGTCTGTGTCGCTGGCTTGCTTTTGGAGTCGCCATGGATACTGAATTTATAGCCTTAACCCTTATCGGTTTGCCTGCTTTGTTTTACTCCTTATCGTTTTTCCAGGTTTGACACTGGACTGTTAAGATAGGGAACACGCCTTGCATAATTCCCACACCGGGTTTAGTCTAACCCGTATAGTGTCTTCAGCATTCCGCCTGCGGTGTAGTTCTGGACCGGCTCCAGACCTCTCAATTCAGGCGGTTTAGGGTTGCAGGGTTTAGGGCACAAAGCACTCAAAGAAATAGGTGGGCATTTATGGCCCACATCAATCATCAGTGCTGTGTATATGGGCAGTGTTCATTCAACGGGTGGAGTTTTTGTTGGGAATCTTCTTTTGGGGTGGTTCCCTTTTTGTCCATGTTCTTTGTTTTTCCTAGGAAAAACATCCATTCCCTGTATATTTTGAGATTTCCTTAGGTCTTCGCTAGGAAAGCATCTATTCATTTTGTAGTTGATCACTGCTTTTCGGAGGTTCTGATAGGATTCATACTACTTTTAATCAACTAAAATTTCTATTCCCTATGTAGTTTAAGAGGAATCGTTACTTTCCTTGTTTTATTTGTTGATCCCCTCTCTTGGTTTTTCCTAGGACAAAGCTACACTTTCATAGGGTTCACACGACTTTTCGAAGGATTTCTTCTTCGTTTTGCTCGAATTCTTATTGAGCTTGGCTCTGTTTCCTCGGTTTTCCCTAAGAAAAACCTCTATTCCCTTTATATTGAAAAAGGATCCTGTACAATTTCATAGGATTCATACTACTTTTTATGCGATTTCTTGCTAAGTTTAGTAAGACGTCAATCGGTTCTGCTCGAATCTTCGTAGTGTTGGGTCTGTTTCCTTGGCTTGCATTATGATAAAACTCTTTCCCCTTTACATGTTCAATAGGATCCTTCACACTTCATAGGGTTCATACTGCGTTCATAGGATTGCTTAATTCTCCGCCGACCCCAGCCGGGGCGGCGTTTAGTGAAGACCCAAATTGTCGTTCCATCCCTATACCCCCTTCGCGTTCCATTCTGCGGGGCCTGACATGCAGTGTCTTCGCGCCCCCCCCCCACTCTACTATCCGTATACTTACACACCCCCTCATCAGTGTCGTTCCATGCCGCGGGGCTTGAAATGTAGTCTTTTCCCTCTTGAAGTGAAGTACGCCCCCCTGCTGCCCCAGTGACTTTCCGTCCCCCCACCCTACCATCCCTACTCCCTCATCAGTGTCGTATGCCGCGGCTTGAAATGGAGTCTTTACCCTCTGGAAGTGAAGTATTTTACGGGCTTCACCCGCGGCCCCTGCCCCCCCCCCCCCCCCCCCCCCCCCCCGCGCCCCCGCACCCCTTCCCATCGCTGCCCCGCACCCCTTATGCAGTGTTTTTTCCCGCCCCCCACTCTACCATCCGCACCCCCTTAGCGTTCCATTCCAATGCAGTATCTTCCCGCCCCCCCACTCCAGCATCGTTCCAGACCGCGGGGCTTGAAATGGAGTCGTTTCCCTCTTGATTACGAAAAGGAGGGATTACGGTTTGCTCTCAGAATGGAGGCTTTTTCCTAGGAAAACCATGAACATGTACAAAAAATGACCCTCCGTTTTCAACACTGGAGGGGAGTCGGGAAAGGACGCACCGGAGCCTGGAAACAAAAAGCGGCCAACACTCTTGAATGGCTGCAAGACATAGCGAAGAAATCGAACTTCAAATGCTCACAATGACAGCTGCCATGCATGCTTCACAAGAATTTTGTTCCCGACTCAACGCACCGTCCTTTGAGAAAAACGTTCAGGTGCTGACCAGGGGCTGGGTGTCTTGGAATCGCTTTCTAAGAGGTCGACCCCACCTGCAAGATCAGAGCTCAAGGAGTCAGTCTCCACGTTGAGGTAGATGTAAAAGGCACCAAAGGAAACCTCTCCAAATCTGGGCTTGGGAAATGCCTGGCTTGTGTAGTCGACTCAGGTCGGCACGAAGCCAAGGAAAATGCCGATGGATGCAAACCTGGCAGGGCCAGGACGGCAGCATATCCCTTACCTTCACAGGCCAAAGTCTTCCATGTGCCAGGCTCCTGAAAACTTTACGAGCCTGAAACTACCAGAGAATACTATATAGTATAGTATTGTATACTCTACCATATTATGTAAATAGTATAACATACTATGTACCATATACTATATAGTACTATATACTATATACTACATACTATATACTATGCACTATGCACTATACACGATATACTATATATAATGTCGTCGTCAAAACAGATACAAAAGCCTACAGCTTCTAGGCCCGACACGGCCCGTGCACGAGAGGAGAAGCATGAACAAATTGCCCTCTTCGGCCGAAAGCTCTAAGAAGAAGCCCAGAGCACCACAAAAGAGGCTCCTGAATCGCACTTTCTCTGAAAGAGGGTGGTATCCAGTGCTCATGGGTCATCACAGCCAGGCAGATGTTGATGTAAGCTATAGGGCTATGTGATTGCTTGCCCATTGTAGCGCTTCTGGGTTTCCCCGTCTGGGTTTCGGTGCTTCGTGGGGGCCGTTTGATGTCTGGCATGCCCAATCCCTTTTGTCTAAGTTGTCACCCAGCCTTTGGGAACGATGTTCCCGCGAAGGCGCTTCGGGCAAACCAATGTGCATAAGGCAGTCCCAAGCCTAGGCATCCTCGCAGCAGCCCAGAATCACCTAACCACACTTCGGGCACATAATGTCATCGTTTTCTGGCTGTGAAAGAATTCCGAAAACTCTTCCGGCTACCACACTGACTCCATTGACGCTGCGACCCTCACCTTCAACTTATTGTCGGCTGCAATCGTCACTGTCATAATGCCCTGACTGTGACGAACGCCCCCAGCCGAAGTTTTGGGAGTCGCTCCAACTTAGCCCAAGAAAGATGTAACTCTTGAAGACACTCATCCAAAACAAGCCCGACTGACACAAGTTGGTCCGAAATCACATTAATTATGCGACATTCGCGCCTGAATGGATTGAGAATGTGGGATCTCAGCTGTAGCGATTGTCTGGCCGCCTTCGCTTGCAGGTAAAGACAGGTCCAGGCTAAGGAGCACTGCAACTTGCGTGAACCGGCCTCGCGCAACTGCCGCACCTGACAAGAGAGCTGTAGGACTCCAGGAAAAGCCATTTACTTCCGATGTGCTTGAAGGGAACTTCCTGAACCGCTGTACGTGTTCTATGATGTGAATGCTAATGATCATGTTCCAGGAGTTCCCCTAACACAGCATGGGCCCCGACCTCTATGATGGCAAGCATCAAGACAATAAAAAGGGCGCAACCTGGGCAAGGGAAACTACAGCCTGGCTTTAAGGGCTGAGCGGCTGGGCTTGAGTTTGGAAAATGCTTTTTGGAAAACAGACCTGGCTTCAGGGTCTGGGCCCCTGTTTCGGCTCTGAGGGCGAGAATCAAGAAGAGCGCAAAGACCATGCTTACGGAAGGGTTTAGGGTGCTTAGACACAACAGCTGAACACAGGCGCCGTCACCCTCGTTCTCGCTTTAGAAGTTTACAGTAGTCTTCGGTCAACAGCTGGTTGAACGTAGGCCCGCGCCCTGGCTGTGAGGCTTGGAATAGGTTATGCTCTTTTGCAGGGAGCAGAGTGTTTTCAAACGCAGAGCCATGCCGAGGAATGTCTTCGGGGCGACAGCTTGGCCTGCCGGCTTTGGGTTTGGACAACTTGGGGGCAGCTTGTCAAACAGAGGCCAACGCCCTCAAGGAGATGTGGTCGTTTGATTTAAAGAGATTGTCAAATGCCGACTCACACTCTTCAGGGCTCAGGGGCTGTCACACTCGGAGCTTAGGGGGTAGGGCTCGTTTGTAAAATGGGGGTGGGATTCTCATGGGTACGAAAAGCAGTGACAGACTCGTGCTGCTCAGGCACAGTCAGTGGTGATGATGCCCGCGTTCCTCCAGCTGGGGCAGAAGAGGGTAGAGAAACAAGCCAAAGCGGTAGAGACTCTTAGTCTTCGGAAGGGGACGCTACCCGATATCTAGGCCTGATAAGCATCGCTTTGCCCACTTTTCCGCAGAATGCGGAATCTGTTGGTCCGAGAAATTGATTGGGATCAGATCGGCAGCAAAGTCAACATCAGCCCCATGCAGCAAAGACCCATCTAGACATGCCACACGCGAGCCAGGCGCTCAGAACCGCGCTTACATGTCCACAACTGGCTATGACCGAACGCCGAGATCCACGGAGTCTCAGTTTAGGCTTCTGGGTCGGTAGGTCGTGTGGGCGACATCCCAAGCGACAGCTGAGCTTGGGCTGCGGCGGAGGGGTGGGGCAAAGGGTCAGGCTGAAGTCGAAGTGAACGTCTGAGCAACTGCTGGACAAGGCCAACTGAGCCGAGCGCCGGTACACAGATCCTGGGAGAGTCCACCTGGGTCAGCAGCCAAACCCGGAATACTTTCAAATCAGAGAGTTTAAAGTGAGTCGTGGGAAGACTTTCAGAAGGATCAAAGCCCTGAACACTAGAAGAATCTACAACGCCCATTTTCTTACCATCTACTATAGTACCTATAGTATACTATGTAGCATCTTACTACTATGATATACTACTTCGCTGAGCCAGGGCTCAGAGCTTTGTTGCGCCGGAGGAGGCCGGATCGTCTCAGCGAAAACCGAACCTGGCCAGCGTCAGAGCAGACGAAGCCCAAGAAACTCGAGCAGAGAAAGTTACAAATAGGGATAGTCGCTTCTTAGTTCCGGTCACTTTGAATCATGCAAAGAATCCACGTGCATTGTGAAGATTTAGACTGGAAGAGAAATGGGAGCGCATCTCTCTGTTGCGGGCCTCAGACTGTCTTAAACTCTGGCTTCTTAACATGAGTGCGGAAGCTAAGGGGAGTGGCGACAACTGAGGCTAGAAAAACGCAAGAGGAGACCCCGGAATCAAGACAACTGGACAACGAAGGGTTAGGGTTTAGGGTTTAGGGTTTAGGGTTTAGGGTTTAGGGTTTTAGGGTTTTAGGGGAGAGCTTTGGAGCTCGTTTCGGGCTTTCGGCTATGCGACCTGCGAAAGGACGAAGAGCTCGAGTTGAGCATTGTAGAAGATGGCTTGGACCTTGGGATCTATAGGGGTTCCTTAAAGGGATGTAGGGGGTTTAGGGTTTAGGGTCTACTTAAAGGGTCATGGGATCTATAGGGTTCCTCTGGATACTGTCAAGTCAGGGCCCGAATATTCATGCCAACTACACCCCCTACTAGCACGTAGGTACATCTGAACCAGATCCAAACCGGGAACCTCTTGAAACGTGGAGCAAACCCACGCCTGCGTCAGGGATACTCGAGCAAAACAGTTTCTCCTTTTGCCTGGGTCAGCGAACCAATGTCTGAGACAGTTCAGCAACGCTTGCAATCCCATATTTTTCATCCCCTCTTGTCAGTCACTCTTGGACCATGTTGGGCCACCTTTACAAAAACCCTTATGTGGTTCCGTATAAAGGGTTTGAAGACCGTACAGAAAACACCAATGTCAGTCATCCTGCTGGGAACCGCTCGGCGTTTTCTTGGCGGGAGGGAGGAACGGTCACGCATAATTCACGACAAAGGCACGGCCATCAGATTCGTCGAGGAATTTAACCATGCCCTGCCGGCAGCAAGAGAGCAAACCCAAAACCATCTTTCAACAAGATCTGTCCGTCTGAGTGCTCGAAGTTGAGAAAGGTGCTGTGCTACACTGAAGTGTTGGTATCTCCAGTGCGCAGGTGCACTCCATCAACTTGCAAAGAAGTCACGAAGGAAACACGGCACCCGCATTTCAGCATGGGAGTTTCCAAAAAGTATAGGCCCCTTTTGGACAACTACAATCTGGACCAGAAAACTTGGGGTCCATGTTGGCGATCCTTCATGTCCGAAGAATCCAAGCAATGTCAACACATAGACACAAAACAAATGTTATGATGCCGCCATCTTCTCACCTAAGCAACAAGAAGTCGAGCTGCGACTTCTCCAGGTGCTCTAGGCGGGATTGAATTTCATCAAAGTCCTGCGCAGAAACATGTAGATTGCTGAGCTATTCTGGCTACTGCTGTCATGCAAACTAGTCTTGTTACTCAGCAGGCTATCATGGCGACTATTGTCCTGGATCTTACTAGACCCTGTTATTGTTACCAGTGTTCATTAGTCGCTGTTGTCGTCGTTGTCGCCGTCGCTTGCGTTGTCGTTGTTGTCGCCGTTGTAGTTGTGGCTATGGTTGTGGTTTCTTCTGCTGCTGCTGCTGCTGCTGCTGCTGTTGCTTTTGTCCTCGCTGTTGCAGTTGCAGTTGCTCGCATTACATGGAGCTCTGTGCTTGGTTGGCTTCGGGCTTCGACTAAGGAGGTTTGTGGCTTGCACCCCTAGCCCTAGCCTCTGAAGCCCTAGCACAAGTTTTCGGCTTGGCCCCTCTTAGCCTAGGCTTCAAGTTTGCACGAAGGGTTAAGGATTCCTGATAGCAGCCACGAGAAGATGAAATCATCCAGCTGGTGGAGGTTTGGAGCTCTTACCCATCGGAACGCAAACGTTGCATATCAACACATTTGACAGGAGCAGGATCAAGAAGTATGCAGCCACACGAAACAGTCCTGAGCTATGTCAAGCCAATAAATCCCATCCTGCCTTGGGACAGGTAACGCTCTGCACACAGATCTGCAGCACTGAAGATGAACAGAAATGAACAGACACTCCCTCAAATTGAGGAGTTGACTCGTCAACGTGGATCGGGTTGGGAACCTGCAAGAGCATACAGATCTACTGGATTTTCGAGACTGGGCATGTGTGCGACAAACATAGGGCTTTAGCTTACGTGTGAGTCCCGCATCAGCCGCCTCATCCAGTGCCAAACTTTGACTGCCTGCCTGCCGGAAAGGAGAAGTTCAAAAGGCTTAAAAATCCATATCCTGGAAAGAGGAGGCTCAACGATTGCTTTCACGGCACACTTTCTCCCACCTCATGGCAAGGAAGATCATATAGGCCTTAAGGCCAAACAGGCTGAAATTCCAGGTGTCCTTCGAACTCAAAAGCCCTCCCTCCGACCCGACTCCCTCCGACTCCCTCCTTTCATCCCTTCGACTCTCCCTTGCAGTCCATGAGACGGAGCAGGCCAGCTGCGTCCCTCGCCAGGCAAAACATGCGCGCTGCTCCCACCCAGAGTACTGCAGAAGGTATATATGATCCCGGTTCGGCCGGGCCCCCCCCCTCCCCCCCCCAATGGTTCCTCCTCCCCCCAGTGGTGTGGTGTTGTTGTGGGTTGCTTCCCCCTCTATTGTTGTGTGGTGTGGTTCGGGAGTGGGTCTGCTGAGGCTGGTTACCCCACTCCCCCCTGTGGTGTGGTGTGGTTTGGGTTTCCTGCGTGGGTCTGCTTGGCGTGTGAGCCCTCGTGTGGAAAAAGCTTTCGCAGTCACACACAGATTCGGCTTGGGGAGCGTGGGGGGGAGGGGGGGATACCATTGCGGGGGGGGGCGGTGAACCGAGAACCGGGATCATATATGGGAGTTTCCGAAAATTAGGGGTACCTTATTTAATGAGGATCCTACTAGTTAGGGAACTATATTAGGGTCCCCTATTTTCGGAAACTCCCATATGATGCCCAGGTACAGCACGTTATGACACAATAGTACCACTCCGACCCTCTCTGTGCCCTGCAGGAAGGCAAATCCTTCAGTGGACTCTTGGAAGGTCAAAATGGCATTTGATGCCGAAGAGCTCCCATTAAGTTATTAAAAAAGGAAGTGACTACAGCTGATTTGGGGGATCCGGGATCCATAGAAATGGACTTTGTACATAAAGCTTTTGGTACTGTTAGTGTTCTGACCTTCTGGTCTCAAATCCACAAGCCATTGGAGGCAGCCAGCGGAAGACCAGTCGCACACCCCCGATGATGCCTGGGGCATGGGGTCTAGCACATGCGAGGCTGTACTAATGAGCCGGGCGAACTGAAGTAGGGTATCATTGGCAATACCTGGCAATCACATGAAGGCTCTGAAGGAAAACCGATAATTATGCGCTGGCCGAGGGCAGACAAGCCACGGTTCAGCTGTTTCACGACGCCGTTGTTCTCCCAAATTGTTGGGAGATAGCCTGAAGCATAGACCGAAACCAGTGTGCAGGCAACACGGAGTGGTAGCTGAAGATTGGTGATCAGGCCTGCGTGATTCTTGCCAAAAAGAACTATACCTAAACCCCAACCCTAAACCTCAGCACGCGACGCGAGGGAACAGAAGCGCCTACATTGCTGCTTTGCTAAACTGCGAGTGCAACTTCAGAGGGCAGAGCTGTCTCGAAGCCACGAGTAAACGTGCTCGAACTCCTGCAGCAAAAGTACTGACTGATTGAGGAAACAGATATGGCCCTCTGTGAAGAGTGTGCACAGTTCACCAGCTGTACACAAAACAAGCACCGGCCGGAGCCGTGCTCCTCCACCTCGTCGAAAGGCATTGTAGTCCGGATGCCATGTTCTGTGGGAAACCTTGGTCTGCATTACAGCATCTGTCACCATATCGTTTACCCGCTACATGCAGGCAGTTAGTAGATGTATTGACATATTGCTGCTGGGCAGGATGTCAACTGTCAGCGCTAGCGTCTCGGGCCTACACAAGTCTATGAACCTCCAAGGGAGCCTCTTATCGGTAGGTGGTGGGGTGCGTGGGTCAGACAAACGGCCGGGGTCCTTTGCCAAGCCGCTACAACTAACAGCGCTGCTAGCAGCCAAGATGAATCCAAACCACCTGGACCAGCACACCATTGCCGAAGTATGGCTGGACAAATGACTCCTCGAACCTGTAGGGACGATCCGCTCAAGTGCCGGCCACGCAACCATTCCCAGTTTTCTGTGACCTGGTCAAGCCTGAGACCAATGGAAACAGCATCTGTCAAATCTTGAAATCTGATTCAGATGATTAAGCACAGCTGCGCCACACGGAGCTCGTAAGATTCCTTGGGTTCCCTTCAAAAAGAAGGCCGTTCATATTGCCAGCAACTTTTCGCACAAAGGTTACATTGAGATGTCCAGCGGTGTTGCAGTAAGGCCTCCGTGCTTTCGACCTCAACGGTTTACATGCAAGCAATCGCTTTGCGAAGTGCCAACAAGCTTCGGCAGTGCGCAGGTGAAAGATCTGCGATGCCGTAAATGCGATCCAGTAGAATAGTGTCCAAACCAGATCTCGGCAATGGCTGGAAAAAAATCAGCGAATCAATTGGCCAAGAACTCACAGGAAACGCAGTTCAAAATGCAGCGCGATGCAGCCATGTCACTGCAGACCCTTAGTTGTTTCTTGACTTTCTCACAAAGCGTTTGGTCACATGGCAGTGCCGTCTTGCTTCCAAAACCGCAGGGGCTCACTAAACTGACAGCAACCACATTGGATCATACAGCATCAGGCAAACTTGGGCACTGTTGAAAACCTTCGCTCCAGAGCGGCCAGCTTATGTCTGTTATTTGCACTCGCCAGGTGGAGAGGCCGCAGTCCTGAGGGACCTGGAGCCTGAAAGGAAAGCCCCAACCTGAAAGAATGACCCCTGAAAGGGAGGAGAGGCAGGAGGACGCGACCTGCCAGGCAGGCATCAGAAATAGATCAGCGGTGGCCCGATTCCAAACGAGCTTGGATCACTGCTCAAGCTGCTCAAGTGTTTCCACACACATACACACCCACACATCTCAATGCACTCCGTTCCCATTGCTTTGGCAGGTCACTGCAGCTTTCTTTGTTTCGCAGAGGGCTGAGAACCTTGGCAAGTCTTGCCAAATCACAGCAGTTTGAAGTCTGCAGGCTGTGGTCACGCATCTGCAAATACGACCGGCAACACCTCGAAAGGTCAGAACATGTGTTCAACCTCAGCAAAAACCATGGACCAGGCAGCATGTCCAGCCCTTGCATACCACCAAGGGACGTGGAAATCTATGCACAGTTCAATGACCTACCACATCTTGCTCTGTGCTACATTGCAACTCCATCTTTTGCCATTTAATATCCAAGGCACTCACATCCTGCGACTGCCCGGATTGCACGGACACACGCGGCATTCCAGCATAGGTCGAGTCGAGTGTAAAGATGATCTTGAACCCCTACTCTCCAAGCTATTCAGGTTGTATTTTTGAATGGTAGCATTCTCCAATATACATATCTCAGATCATTCCTATGACAGTGAGAGAGAGTTAAGGCTAAACCGGCTAGGTCACATTCAACAGTTGCAAAGGTGTAGATATACCTTAGCAAAGTGCAGACATATCACCCCAAAATGCCTTGAACAAATCCTTCTCTCATGTACCAAAACAGCAACAATTTATCGGCATGCCCCTACAGTGGCCCGAGGTGTGAGGTTCCAGGTCTCAGGACATTTGAGGGTTGGGGTATGGGGTGGGTTGAGCATTCAGGGCTCAAGTGCAATCAAAAGCCCACAGCTTTCTTCCCCTTAGAGCACTGCACGACATGGAAAGGTCGGCACCTCACACATACACACGCAGAGACAGAGAGAACACCCTCTCCATCTCAGTGAAATCATAGACTCAGTCGGGTGCTTGACTGATCTCGCTGCTGCCTCTTCTGAGCGCAAAGTCTATCGCATTCTCTCACAATCCGTGCAAAATCTTCCTGCAGTAAGTGGCTCAAGCGTGCCATCGCGGAAGCAACGTCATCTGGCATGCATGGGTCAGGTTCCGGTCCATCTGCAACTGCATGAACCCTGTGCATCTAGCTCTCCGCAACCTTCTTCTTGGGCATGGCGTGTGGCAACGACTTGTGCGCCGTCGCCAGCAGGCACAATGTGAAGATGAGCTCACGAGGCAAGTCCCCCTGTTGCAACCTGTCCATCCAGAGCTTGGTGAAGTCGCTGACAGCCATCTGCAGGTGGTTGGGCCCGAATCTCAGAGCCCCTTGCCCGCTGCAAAGTTTTGCGATGGTCCCTTAGATCACGAGGGCATGTGACAAGTGCAAACAGAAAAAGGGGTTCGCATTCGCCTGCTCAGGATCCTGCAGCCGTGCTGCCTGCTGCTGCGACCGTATTGATTATATCAACTGGTAATAATAGTAATAATAGTAATAATAGTAATAATAGTAATAATAGTAATCATAGTAGTAATAGTAATAATAGTAGTAATAGTAATAATAGTAATAATAGTAGTAATAGTAGTAATAGTTGGGAATCTGGAAGTCTGCGACCATCAATTGCCCTAGTCCTGGACTTTATTTAGAGAACAAACCATCCAACCGCTGCTTGTGAGGCGGCACAGCACTTAAACAACTGGGCAGAGCACACTCCCACGATGACACGCAATAATCCGGAAGCGTCACGTGTCATCGAAGCATGGCCCCAGCACAAGGATGACGATGCCGTGATGCCTCAACTGACAGATGAAGGATGCAGCGAACGGCAGTAAATGGTCCTCGTGCGTATTACCCTAAACCCTAAATAAACCCTCTGCTCAGCAACATGCCATCACCAAACACCCCTAAGCTCATTGGTACACCTTTGACCTCCGAAATCTCAACCTTGAACCTTGCACCAGTAGCACCTGAACGCTACATTGACAGTGGTCAGCAGACTTGGAGGGAGCCATGCGATGCGCATGCAACCACAGCCAGAGGTTCTGATGGCGAAAAAATCGTTTCAGAATTCAATAGTTCCATGTTTTGGGTTTAGGGTGTGTAGGGTTTAGGGGTCAGGTTTTGGTCTTTGATCCATGTGAAGGTTTTCAGGTCAGCATGAGAAGCAGTCTGATATCCGCGGTATCGCATGACAAGGCAACTTGAGACAGGGGCCAAGGGAGCCAACCTTCTTGCAGACCGAAGAGGGCCAACAACAGGTTCCCTTGCGGCTAACTCATTTTCTGTGCAAAGTTCCGCCCAACCTGCACAGCCCCGTGAATGACCTGCGCATTTAAAGGAAGGAGAGCACGCCCCCCTCAACTTCAATTAGCACGGGCCTTGACGGAAGGGGGGGCTTATTCTCTAAATCAGTCTGTTGGGTGCCCCCGGGTATCTTTGGTTATTGGTAAACCACCTGATAAGGCCTCACTTGGCTGTTTTTGACCCACCAAGACGATTCTACACGACAACTAGCGCAAGCTACACTGTGAATATGTGCCGGCACTACAGACAAGCCCAGACTTCAGCCTTTTGGTATGTAGAGTTGACCAGATCTAGCCCTCCCTAAACATTCTAGACATTGACCAGCTCCACGAACCTGAAAGTTTCTCACCCCATATCAACTTCAAAGTGTACTGAAGACCGTGGGCCTCAAACCGAGGGACGCAACTTGTAGGCCATCGTAGCAAGTGAAGTTATCCTGGTTGGTGTGACTCCAGCAGTGCGAACTCTTACTGTATCCGAGCGGAAAGACCATTCCAGCTGAATGTTCTCCTCCTCTGCCTGCTTGAACAACGGCAAGGTCCTTGACAGGAGAAAGCGCTTCACATCACCTGACGGGTAGCCACAGGGGACTCCGGACCCAAGCACCTTGCCCCGCCAATTGCAGACACTTCGATCAAATGGGCAACGGAAAAACTACTCTTGACATGTCTACAATGTTTTTTGCAGGAAGGCCTGCGATCTTCATCAGCCCTGATTGCCTGCCAGATTCCTGAAGCGATGTAGCCGCATCTCGCAGCATCTGTGCCAGCACGTGGACGAGCAAATAGACGGATGCCACCAGTAGAACGAATAATAGCAGGAAGGCGAAGTAGTCGTCGTCGTCGTCCTTCTCGTAGTCTTTTCGTAGCCGTACTGGAAACAGATGCAGCAGAAGTATGAGCAGATGTCCATACTAATCACAAGCGGCTTGAGGTTTGGCAGGCATCCTGCGAGCACCTAACAACAATAAACGAGCTGATTCTGCCCCCCAGCACGTCCCACGGTGCCGGCAGAGACTAGATTCACTGGCTGGCACGATATCAGAGCAGAGTCGAGTGGATCATTTACGAGCTTGCAGGAGTCCGACGCCGGCCTGACAAGCTGGAACTCGAACATGCCCACGAAAGCGTAGCAGCGCCTTGGTGTTGGCGACGCCACGAAAACTTTCAGACCCTGAAAGCTCGTGCTAGCACTGCAGGTGTTCGCAAACAAAGGACAACAAACATGAGTTCTCCAGCCAACGCTGTCCAACCTTGGCACCTGCAGACGCCTCGCTGATCTGTTATCTGACGCGATGCCACAGCTCCGAGAATAATAAGTTATCTATGCAAGGTGCTCGGGATGTTTATGCAACCTCCATCCTGCGACGAATGCACATGCGAGAAGATGGTGCAATTGTCAGAAAGGGCCCCCGACGGCTTCAGCGCAGAAGGTTCTGGGCCCAGCACTCGGGAAGGTCCCTCGCAGAGCAGTTGGTTCCAAAGTCGAAACCGCTGGGGGGAGTCGAAGACCACGAAGTCGTTCTGACCTTGGGTGATGGCCTACCGGTTGGGGAAAAGCCGAAAAGAGGACTATTCCAACTGCTGTGAAATACGGTTTATTTAGGGCTCAGAGATGCTGCGGGTGATCTGTTCGCGTTATGGAACACGATGATCACGGAGGCTCGCGGTAGACCCTTCCTTGTCTAGAGTTTCTTCTGGCTGAGGGTTTACGGTACCTACAGGGGTTCTTCAGGTCAGCTCAAGCATAAACTGAGGCAATGCAACTACCACCTGCTCTGGAACGCAGAAAACTCACATGTGGCTCACTCCTACGTTCTAGGCTGACTCTTGAACCGTCTGGATCACAGCTAAGCCCAGCAACAGTGCCGACAGGTTGTCGGAAGCGTACACCAACACCTCAGCACGTTGCCGCGGGTGCAGTAGTTCTGGGCGAGCCTATGCACAAGCAAGTGGACACATGCTTGGGCAAGCGAACGCTACCTGCTTTACACAGGAAGACATGCTTCCTTGCTCCAACGCAGTTAAAAATACGCTGGGGCTTGTACCGTCTGAATTGAGAGATTTCCATCTTGCGGCGCCGAGTAGCCCGGCCTGTGTAGGACACAAATAGCGTTGCCTCCCTCTCCGCCAACTCTGATCGTACTTCCTACTGTACCTCATCCTACAACTCCTACTCCTTGTTTTATGTCCTAGTCCTAGCCTAGTCCTAGTCCTAGTCCTACCCCTACGCCTACTTACTCTTGCTCGTATTTCTACTCTTGATCATAATCCTACTTCTCCTCCACCGCCTACTACGACGACGACTTCTCCCAGTCTACTGCAAGTGCTGCTCCTTCAGGTACTGCTGCTACTGCTCCGCTGCTGCTGCGAACCAACTTATCTGCGATCATCGTGGTTCCCTGTCCCGCAGCGATTGATCAAGAGTCGCCGTTTTGTTCATATCAACCAGCAGAGCAAAGTCTCCTGAACTCCTCGCACCATGAGACTGGCACTGCCAGTTTGATCTAACATTCTACTGTAATGTCTGATAATGTCTGACATGGCAAAACAGTGCTATCTTCGCACACTCTATGCACACGTCAAACATATTAGCTTTGGGAATCGATTCATTCGATTGCCATGGATATTGCAAGGATTGCACATGCTCACACATCGTTTGTGTGCGTAACATGTTCAATGTGAGTAATGCCGTCAATGTCCTGCTGCTGTCGTTTACAACCTTCCCCGTTTACAACAGTCCCATTGCAAAAATCACGAGAGTCACACTCCCCTCTGCTGCGCTTCCCACTTCAGCCAGACGGTTCGAGCGACCTCTTGGAATAGCTGGGGCTCCAAGCGATGTGGACCGCAGGACGTCTTTGTCCTTGCTCCACTTCTCAAAAGCCCGATTCAACTGCGCGACCTCCGGCAACAGAGATCACGGCTGCGGTCCGTTGGGTGCTACAACCAGCGATCCTGTTGAGCCAGGATGAGCAGATCGCATGATGGCAGTAAGAATTTAAAACAGGCAATGTCGCTTCAAGACCCAGATGTCGCTACATGTAGCAAAACCTCGCACGGTTGGAACTTCTTTTGCGGAACTGGGACCGGAACAATACTCCGATCACTGCTGGCATCTGCAGGGAGGTGGCAGACACAAGCCTCGCTCAGCAACAACACCCACATGAGCATGCGCATCCACAGCTGCAACCGCAACCGCATTGGCACCCGCACGACTTGGATAGTCCAGGTGACACGGACGAAAACAACCAAGTCTACCGGATTCTGGCAAAACAGGAACTCAAAAAAGTAAACCCAAAAAAAGCTGCCAGATTTGCAGCTGCGAGAAGCGCAAAGAGCAACGTCTTCCTTGGACCACGCCGCTTCATCGACGCGGCCATAGTAGTCGCAGAGCTGCATCTTGGTGCGCGAGAACATGTTGTCCATGGACGATTTCTGCTCTTTCATACCCTGCTGCTCAAGGAGAAGGTTCGCCGGCTCGTGATGGAGGAAGTGGCCCAGCAGAGCGCGGGTGTCTGCCTGGTACTTTTTGGTGTTTAGGATGTGGGCGTGCCATGCATCATCCACCTTCTTCGACGGCACGGGGCTGAGACCGATGCTCACCAGGGCCAGGTACTTGCGGTATTCCTCCGCGAGCTCTGCTGCCTTCGCGGGCGAGTAGCCGTCCTTCTTCACGAGAAAAGCCACGACCGCATCCAGATCCAGCGCTTTCACCTTTTCAACAGACGCGTTGAACCTCTGCATCTGCTGCAGCGACGGTCGGCTGCCGGATTGCTGGCACACAGCAGGCTCAGTCGCGCCTGGAGCTCCGAACTCTGAACACAAGTCTACAGCAAGTCTGACCGCAAGAATGCCCAACATAGCGCCAAGCCTCTACACGAAACACCTGCGCAAAAAACAAAAAACAATAGCAAACGGCTGGCCAAGGCACCCGAAACCGAAGCCTCCTCTCCGCGTGAGCCCAGTAGCGACGGCGCGACGCTAGTCAGGCCGCTGTCGCTCAAGTCGTCTCTGTCTCCCTGCAGGGAGGCCACCCAAATCTTGATGTCTTGGATCTTGCCTTCGGGGTTCACCTCGAAAATCAGGAGTCCCATCCGGGGGTGGAGGTTATTGCCCTTGTTCTCGATCATGAAGGCGCCTCCGTCCACGGAAAGGAACTCTCGAGCCCCAGTGGCATTTTCGAAGTCGCGGAAGAAGTCTATCACTTCAGCCTTCCCGTCACGAGTTTCAGGCGCATCGGTCACTTGCGACATATGCGTCAAGTGCACGTCGGCCGCCAGAAGGTCGTGTTTCTCAGCTGCGTTGTTGTTGAAATTGAGCATCCACGTCTCCATGGCGGCTTTGGTCAAGGCACCGCCTGCCTCCCCGACTTGGACCATCGCCTAAGAGCCGACAACACGAAGCTCCCAGCGAAGCCTTCACAAGCTGCAAGGGCTCTAGCTATGCCTACGGCCTTACAGCTTACGATGGCTTACGTTTCCCTGCTACACGCTCCTACTCGCTGCAGTGTCGCACTCTGCACTATAGCGCCACTGAGATCCTGGCTTGTAGGGGGTAAGTGTTCCTGGCCATGGATCCGTTGCCCGTGTAGTGTACGGTGAGATTCTCGAGCCCTGTGTCGTTGAGGTCGTCTACGTCCTTGAAAAGGGTGGCCATGAAGATCTTCACGTCCAGAATCTTCCCGTCAGAGTCCACCTCGAAGATGTCGGCCCCCATGCGCTTGCCCTTCTGAATCTCGATGGCAAAGGCCTCGTGGTCCGCGGACAGGAACTTCCGGGCTTTGGTGGCATGGCTGTAGTGGTGGAAGAAGGACAGAGCGTTCTCGAGGCCCGTGTGAGTCACGGCCGTGTTGGTATGCTGTGAAGCCACCATCACGTGGACGTCCTCTGCCAGGAGACCTTTACGGAGCACAACCTCCTCGTTGATGTGGTCCAGCCACTGATCCATGATGGCCGCTATGTCAGAAGGGTCCGTGCTCTCCGAGAGAGCAGCTGGCTTTGCTGCCGACCACACAAGTCGGTCAACCATGCCGAAGTAGTCACAGATCTGCTGCTGCGTCTGCTTCAGGCGAGTTTCTTCCAATTGCTCACCGAGGGGGTCATTTTCCAGCTGGTGGCCAAATACCTCCTGACAGTCCCGCTCGTACATCTTCGTGTACCTGGTCTCGCGCGAACTACCGGGGACCTGCTAGCAGGAGAAACACCGGAGCACCGACTCCCCCGACTCCCACTGAAACATGGAGCCACCCACCTGGCGACGGCTAGAAAGTGCTAGAAACAAGAAGTGCGCTAATGTTTCGGACTGGTGGCATGATGTGGGAATGCCAGGCGTCGAGAACCATTTTGGAGGCGATCGGTGTCTCCCCCATGCCCATCAAGACAAGGAACTTCCGGTACTCATCAGCGGCCCTCTTCGCAAGCTTGGGTGCGTAATCGCTTTTCTTGACAAGGCGGGCGAGGACAGGATCCAGGTCGAGGGCGAAGACCTTCTGCGAAAGCAACTCGAACTTTGCCCTGTTCTCGCCCAATAGCGGAGCTCCTGGCAGGGGTACGTGCAATGCGCAGCAAGTCACAAGGAACTCAAGGAACTGGGCCGACGTGGCATGCGAAAGTCGCACACAACGCGTGACACAGCCAGGGCTCCTGCCGGCTCGCACTCAGAGCCCTCAGGATGCCCAGGCCCATCCTTTTCTGCCTCGGCGAGAAAGGCCATGAAATCTGAGTGTTTCTTGTTCGACTTTTGCTTCTTCAGCTTCTTCTTCTTCTCCTTGATCTCTGGTGTCTTCTTGAGGGACTCCGCCGGCGTCGCCTCAGTGTCGGACAGCACCTTATGGGATGAGCTCAGGCGTTGGATCAGGCTCCCGGACTGGCACGCGTCCGCGGTTTCCGTTCCTCTGGCATCCGCGACATCTGTTCCAGCCCCGTCGACCCGAAGGGTGTCGGCAGACACCCCGGCCTTGAAAGCCAAAGCAAACAAGCAAGCCACAACGCACGCGGGCTTCATGGCAATGTCAATCCAAGGTGGATTGGCGGTAGGTGAGAGGAAGGTGACTACAGCAATCTTGCTCTTAAGCCAGGCAGAGCCGGAACGAGATCGACCACACCTACCGATGCTCCAGCAGATCGTGACTTGGGCCCTGGAATTGCCAGGGTCTCCTGCTGAAGTGAAAACGCTCTGACATGGATGCTGCCAACAAAAATTAGCACATGTTAGCACTGTTAGCACGCTGCTGCTCTCCAGGTTCATGCTGCAACGTCCATGCGAACCCAGGGGCTGGAAGACTACGTACCACTACATACAACCAGCGATCCTGTTGAGCCAGGATGAGCAGATCGCATGATGGCAGTAAGAATTTTAAACAGGCAATGTCGCTTCAAGACCCAGATGTCGCTACATGTAGCAAAACCTCGCACGGTTGGAACTTCTTTTGCGCAACTGCGACCGGAACAATACTCCGATCACTGCTGGCATCTGCAGGGAGGTGGCAGACACAAGCCTCGCTCAGCAACAACAGCCACATGAGCATGCGCATCCACAGCTGCAACCGCAACCGCATTGGCACCCGCACGACTTGGATAGTCCAGGTGACACGGACGAAAACAACCAAGTCTACCGGATTCTGGCAAAACAGGAACTCAAAAAAAGTGAACCCCAAAAAAGTTGCCAGATTTGCAGCTGCGAGAAGCGCAAAGAGCAACGTCTTCCCTGGACCACGCCGCTTCATCGACGCGGCCATAGTAGTCGCAGAGCTGCATCTTGGTGCGCGAGAACATGTTGTCCATGGACGATTTCTGCTCTTTCATGCCCTGCTGCTCAAGGAGAAGGTTCGCCGGCTCGTGATGGAGGAAGTGGCCCAACAGAGCGCGGGTGTCTGCCTGGTACTTTTTGGTGTTTAGGATGTGGGCGTGCCATGCATCATCCACCTTCTTCGACGGCACGGGGCTGAGACCGATGCTCACCAGGGCCAGGTACTTGCGGTATTCCTCCGCGAGCTCTGCTGCCTTCGTGGGCGAGTAGCCGTCCTTCTTCACGAGAAAAGCCACGACCGCATCCAGATCCAGCGCCTTCACCTTTTCAACAGACGCGTTGAACCTCTGCATCTGCTGCAGCGATGGTCGGCTGCCGGATTGCTGGCACACAGCAGGCTCAGTCGCGCCTAGCGCTCCGAACTCTGAACACAAGTCTACAGCAAGTCTGACCGCAAGAATGCCCAACATAGCGCCAAGCCTCTACACGAAACACCTGCGCAAACACCTGCGCAAAAAACAAAAAACAATAGCAAACGGCTGGCTAAGGCACCCGAAACCGAAGCCTCCTCTCCGCGTGAGCCCAGTAGCGACGGCGCGACGCTGGTCAGGCCGCTGTCGCTCAAGTCGTCTCTGTCTCCCTGCAGGGAGGCCACCCAAATCTTGATGTCTTGGATCTTGCCTTCGGGGTTCACCTCGAAAATCAGGAGTCCCATCCGGGGGTGGAGGTTATTGCCCTTGTTCTCGATCATGAAGGCGCCTCCGTCCACGGAAAGGAACTCTCGAGCCCCAGTGGCATTTTCGAAGTCGCGGAAGAAGTCTATCACTTCAGCCTTCCCGTCACGAGTTTCAGGCGCATCGGTCACTTGCGACATATGCGTCAAGTGCACGTCGGCCGCCAGAAGGTCGTGTTTCTCAGCTGCGTTGTTGTTGAAATTGAGCATCCACGTCTCCATGGCGGCTTTGGTCAAGGCACCGCCTGCCTCCCCGACTTGGACCATCGCCTAAGAGCCGACAACACGAAGCTCCCAGCGAAGCCTTCACAGGCTGCAAGGGCTCTAGCTATGCCTACGGCCTTACAGCTTACGATGGCTTACGTTTCCCTGCTACACGCTCCTACTCGCTGCAGGGTCGCACTCTGCACTATAGCGCCACTGAGATCCTGGCTTGTAGGGGGTAAGTGTTCCTGGCCATGGATCCGTTGCCCGTGTAGTGTACGGTGAGATTCTCGAGCCCTGTGTCGTCGAGGTCGTCTACGTCCTTGAAAAGGGTGGCCATGAAGATCTTCACGTCCAGAATCTTCCCGTCAGAGTCCACCTCGAAGATGTCGGCCCCCATGCGCTTGCCCTTCTGAATCTCGATGGCAAAGGCCTCGTGGTCCGCGGACAGGAACTTCCGGGCTTTGGTGGCATGGCTGTAGTGGTGGAAGAAGGACAGAGCGTTCTCGAGGCCCGTGTGAGTCACGGCCGTGTTGGTATGCTGTGAAGCCACCATCACGTGGACGTCCTCTGCCAGGAGACCTTTACGGAGCACAACCTCCTCGTTGATGTGGTCCAGCCACTGATCCATGATGGCCGCTGTGTCAGAAGGGTCCGTGCTCTCCGAGAGAGCAGCTGGCTTTGCTGCCGACCACACAAGTCGGTCAACCATGCCGAAGTAGTCACAGATCTGCTGCTGCGTCTGCTTCAGGCGAGTTTCTTCCAATTGCTCACCGAGGGGGTCATGTTCCAGCTGGTGGCCAAATACCTCCTGACAGTCCCGCTCGTACATCTTCGTGTACCTGGTCTCGCGCGAACTACCGGGGACCTGCTAGCAGGAGAAACACCGGAGCACCGACTCCCCCGACTCCCACTGAAACATGGAGCCACCCACCTGGCGACGGCTAGAAAGTGCTAGAAACAAGAAGTGCGCTAATGTTTCGGACTGGTGGCATGATGTGGGAATGCCAGGCGTCGAGAACCATTTTGGAGGCGATCGGTGTCTCCCCCATGCCCATCAAGACAAGGAACTTCCGGTACTCATCAGCGGCCCTCTTCGCAAGCTTGGGTGCGTACTCGCTTTTCTTGACAAGGCGGGCGAGGACAGGATCCAGGTCGAGGGCGAAGACCTTCTGCGAAAGCAACTCGAACTTTGCCCTGTTCTCGCCCAATAGCGGAGCTCCTGGCAGGGGTACGTGCAATGCGCAGCAAGTCACAAGGAACTCAAGGAACTGGGCCGACGCGGCATGCGAAAGTCGCACACAACGCGTGACACAGCCAGGGCTCCTGCCGGCTCGCACTCAGAGCCCTCAGGATGCCCAGGCCCATCCTTTTCTGCCTCGGCGAGAAAGGCCATGAAATCTGAGTGTTTCTTGTTCGACTTTTGCTTCTTCAGCTTCTTCTTCTTCTCCTTGATCTCTGATGTCTTCTTGAGGGACTCCGCCGGCGTCGCCTCAGTGTCGGACAGCACCTTATGGGATGAGCTCAGGCGTTGGATCAGGCTCCCGGACTGGCACGCGTCCGCGGTTTCCGTTCCTCTGGCATCCACGACATCTGTTCCAGCCCCGTCGACCCGAAGGGTGTCGGCAGACACCCCGGCCTTGAAAGCCAAAGCAAACAAGCAAGCCACAACGCACGCGGGCTTCATGGCAATGTCAATCCAAGGTGGATTGGCGGTAGGTGAGAGGAAGGTGACTACAGCAATCTTGCTCTTGAGCCAGGCAGAGCCGGAACGAGATCGACCACACCTACCGATGCTCCAGCAGATCGTGACTTGGGCCCTGGAATTGCCAGGGTCTCCTGCTGAAGTGAAAACGCTCTGACATGGATGCTCCCAACAAAAATTAGCACATGTTAGCACTGTTAGCACGCTGCTGCTCTCCAGGTTCATGCTGCAACGTCCATGCGAACCCAGGGGCTGGAAGACTACAGTAAGAATCTAAAACAGGCAATGTCGCTTCAAGACCCAGATGTCGCTACATGTAGCAAAACCTCGCACGGTTGAGAACTTCTTTTGCGGAACTGGGACCGGAACAATGCTCCGATCACTGCTGGCATCTGCAGGGAGGTGGCAGACACAAGCCTCGCTCAGCAACAACACCCACATGAGCATGCGCATCCACAGCTGCAACCGCAACCGCATTGGCACCCGCACGACTTGGATAGTCCAGGTGACACGGACGAAAACAACCAAGTCTACCGGATTCTGGCAAAACAGGAACTCAAAAAAAGTGAACCCCAAAAAAGTTGCCAGATTTGCAGCTGCGAGAAGCGCAAAGAGCAACGTCTTCCTTGGACCACGCCACTTCATCGACGCGGCCATAGTAGTCGCAGAGCTGCATCTTGGTGCGCGAGAACATGTTGTCCATGGACGATTTCTGCTCTTTCATGCCCTGCTGCTCAAGGAGAAGGTTCGCCGGCTCGTGATGGAGGAAGTGGCCCAACAGAGCGCGGGTGTCCGCCTGGTACTTTTTGGTGTTTAGGATGTGGGCGTGCCATGCATCATCCACCTTCTTCGACGGCACGGGGCTGAGACCGATGCTCACCAGGGCCAGGTACTTGCGGTATTCCTCCGCGAGCTCTGCTGCCTTCGTGGGCGAGTAGCCGTCCTTCTTCACGAGAAAAGCCACGACCGCATCCAGATCCAGAGCTTTCACCTTTTCAACAGACGCGTTGAACCTCTGCATCTGCTGCAGCGATGGTCGGCTGCCGGATTGCTGGCACACAGCAGGCTCAGTCGCGCCTGGAGCTCCGAACTCTGAACACAAGTCTACAGCAAGTCTGACCGCAAGAATGCCCAACATAGCCCAAGCCTCTACACGAAACACCTGCGCAAAAAACAAAGAACAATAGCAAACGGCTGGCCAAGGCACCCGAAACCGAAGCCTCCTCTCCGCGTGAGCCCAGTAGCGACGGCGCGACGCTAGTCAGGCCGCTGTCGCTCAAGTCGTCTCTGTCTCCCTGCAGGGAGGCCACCCAAATCTTGATGTCTTGGATCTTGCCTTCGGGGTTCACCTCGAAAATCAGGAGTCCCATCCGGGGGTGGAGGTTATTGCCCTTGTTCTCGATCATGAAGGCGCCTCCGTCCACGGAAAGGAACTCTCGAGCCCCAGTGGCATTTTCGAAGTCGCGGAAGAAGTCTATCACTTCAGCCTTCCCGTCACGAGTTTCAGGCGCATCGGTCACTTGCGACATATGCGTCAAGTGCACGTCGGCCGCCAGAAGGTCGTGTTTCTCAGCTGCGTTGTTGTTGAAATTGAGCATCCACGTCTCCATGGCGGCTTTGGTCAAGGCACCGCCTGCCTCCCCGACTTGGACCATCGCCTAAGAGCCGACAACACGAAGCTCCCAGCGAAGCCTTCACAGGCTGCAAGGGCTCTAGCTATGCCTACGGCCTTACAGCTTACGATGGCTTACGTTTCCCTGCTACACGCTCCTACTCGCTGCAGGGTCGCACTCTGCACTATAGCGCCACTGAGATCCTGGCTTGTAGGGGGTAAGTGTTCCTGGCCATGGATCCGTTGCCCGTGTAGTGTACGGTGAGATTCTCGAGCCCTGTGTCGTCGAGGTCGTCTACGTCCTTGAAAAGGGTGGCCATGAAGATCTTCACGTCCAGAATCTTCCCGTCAGAGTCCACCTCGAAGATGTCGGCCCCCATGCGCTTGCCCTTCTGAATCTCGATGGCAAAGGCCTCGTGGTCCGCGGACAGGAACTTCCGGGCTTTGGTGGCATGGCTGTAGTGGTGGAAGAAGGACAGAGCGTTCTCGAGGCCCGTGTGAGTCACGGCCGTGTTGGTATGCTGTGAAGCCACCATCACGTGGACGTCCTCTGCCAGGAGACCTTTACGGAGCACAACCTCCTCGTTGATGTGGTCCAGCCACTGATCCATGATGGCCGCTGTGTCAGAAGGGTCCGTGCTCTCCGAGAGAGCAGCTGGCTTTGCTGCCGACCACACAAGTCGGTCAACCATGCCGAAGTAGTCACAGATCTGCTGCTGCGTCTGCTTCAGGCGAGTTTCTTCCAATTGCTCACCGAGGGGGTCATGTTCCAGCTGGTGGCCAAATACCTCCTGACAGTCCCGCTCGTACATCTTCGTGTACCTGGTCTCGCGCGAACTACCGGGGACCTGCTAGCAGGAGAAACACCGGAGCACCGACTCCCCCGACTCCCACTGAAACATGGAGCCACCCACCTGGCGACGGCTAGAAAGTGCTAGAAACAAGAAGTGCGCTAATGTTTCGGACTGGTGGCATGATGTGGGAATGCCAGGCGTCGAGAACCATTTTGGAGGCGATCGGTGTCTCCCCCATGCCCATCAAGACAAGGAACTTCCGGTACTCATCAGCGGCCCTCTTCGCAAGCTTGGGTGCGTACTCGCTTTTCTTGACAAGGCGGGCGAGGACAGGATCCAGGTCGAGGGCGAAGACCTTCTGCGAAAGCAACTCGAACTTTGCCCTGTTCTCGCCCAATAGCGGAGCTCCTGGCAGGGGTACGTGCAATGCGCAGCAAGTCACAAGGAACTCAAGGAACTGGGCCGACGCGGCATGCGAAAGTCGCACACAACGCGTGACACAGCCAGGGCTCCTGCCGGCTCGCACTCAGAGCCCTCAGGATGCCCAGGCCCATCCTTTTCTGCCTCGGCGAGAAAGGCCATGAAATCTGAGTGTTTCTTGTTCGACTTTTGCTTCTTCAGCTTCTTCTTCTTCTCCTTGATCTCTGATGTCTTCTTGAGGGACTCCGCCGGCGTCGCCTCAGTGTCGGACAGCACCTTATGGGATGAGCTCAGGCGTTGGATCAGGCTCCCGGACTGGCACGCGTCCGCGGTTTCCGTTCCTCTGGCATCCACGACATCTGTTCCAGCCCCGTCGACCCGAAGGGTGTCGGCAGACACCCCGGCCTTGAAAGCCAAAGCAAACAAGCAAGCCACAACGCACGCGGGCTTCATGGCAATGTCAATCCAAGGTGGATTGGCGGTAGGTGAGAGGAAGGTGGCTACAGCAATCTTGCTCTTGAGCCAGGCAGAGCCGGAACGAGATCGACCACACCTACCGATGCTCCAGCAGATCGTGACTTGGGCCCTGGAATTGCCAGGGTCTCCTGCTGAAGTGAAAACGCTCTGACATGGATGCTCCCAACAAAAATTAGCACATGTTAGCACTGTTAGCACGCTGCTGCTCTCCAGGTTCATGCTGCAACGTCCATGCGAACCCAGGGGCTGGAAGACTACAGTAAGAATTTAAAACAGGCAATGTCGCTTCAAGACCCAGATGTCGCTACATGTAGCAAAACCTCGCACGGTTGAGAACTTCTTTTGCGGAACTGGGACCGGAACAATACTCCGATCACTGCTGGCATCTGCAGGGAGGTGGCAGACACAAGCCTCGCTCAGCAACAACACCCACATGAGCATGCGCATCCACAGCTGCAACCGCAACCGCATTGGCACCCGCACGACTTGGATAGTCCAGGTGACACGGACGAAAACAACCAAGTCTACCGGATTCTGGCAAAACAGGAACTCAAAAAAAGTGAACCCCAAAAAAGTTGCCAGATTTGCAGCTGCGAGAAGCGCAAAGAGCAACGTCTTCCTTGGACCACGCCACTTCATCGACGCGGCCATAGTAGTCGCAGAGCTGCATCTTGGTGCGCGAGAACATGTTGTCCATGGACGATTTCTGCTCTTTCATGCCCTGCTGCTCAAGGAGAAGGTTCGCCGGCTCGTGATGGAGGAAGTGGCCCAACAGAGCGCGGGTGTCCGCCTGGTACTTTTTGGTGTTTAGGATGTGGGCGTGCCATGCATCATCCACCTTCTTCGACGGCACGGGGCTGAGACCGATGCTCACCAGGGCCAGGTACTTGCGGTATTCCTCCGCGAGCTCTGCTGCCTTCGTGGGCGAGTAGCCGTCCTTCTTCACGAGAAAAGCCACGACCGCATCCAGATCCAGAGCTTTCACCTTTTCAACAGACGCGTTGAACCTCTGCATCTGCTGCAGCGATGGTCGGCTGCCGGATTGCTGGCACACAGCAGGCTCAGTCGCGCCTGGAGCTCCGAACTCTGAACACAAGTCTACAGCAAGTCTGACCGCAAGAATGCCCAACATAGCCCAAGCCTCTACACGAAACACCTGCGCAAAAAACAAAGAACAATAGCAAACGGCTGGCCAAGGCACCCGAAACCGAAGCCTCCTCTCCGCGTGAGCCCAGTAGCGACGGCGCGACGCTAGTCAGGCCGCTGTCGCTCAAGTCGTCTCTGTCTCCCTGCAGGGAGGCCACCCAAATCTTGATGTCTTGGATCTTGCCTTCGGGGTTCACCTCGAAAATCAGGAGTCCCATCCGGGGGTGGAGGTTATTGCCCTTGTTCTCGATCATGAAGGCGCCTCCGTCCACGGAAAGGAACTCTCGAGCCCCAGTGGCATTTTCGAAGTCGCGGAAGAAGTCTATCACTTCAGCCTTCCCGTCACGAGTTTCAGGCGCATCGGTCACTTGCGACATATGCGTCAAGTGCACGTCGGCCGCCAGAAGGTCGTGTTTCTCAGCTGCGTTGTTGTTGAAATTGAGCATCCACGTCTCCATGGCGGCTTTGGTCAAGGCACCGCCTGCCTCCCCGACTTGGACCATCGCCTAAGAGCCAACAACACGAAGCTCCCAGCGGCCTTCACAAGCTGCAAGGGCTCCAGCTATGCCTACGGCCTTACAGCTTACGATGGCTTACGTTTCCCTGCTACACGCTCCCACTCGCTGCAGTGTCGCACCCTGCACTATAGCGCCACTGAGATCCTGCCTTGTAGGGGGTAAGTGTTCCTGGCCATGGATCCGTTGCCCGTGTAGTGCACGGTGAGATTCTCGAGCCCTGCGTCGTTGAGGTCGTCTACGTCCTTGAAAAGGGTGGCCATGAAGATCTTCACGTCCAGAATCTTCCCGTCAGAGTCCACCTCGAAGATGTCGGCCCCCATGCGCTTGCCCTTCTGAATCTCGATGGCAAAGGCCTCGTGGTCCGCGGACAGGAACTTCCGGGCTTTGGTGGCATGGCTGTAGTGGTGGAAGAAGGACAGAGCGTTCTCGAGGCCCGTGTGAGGCACGGCCGTGTTGGTATGCTGTGAAGCCACCATCACGTGGACGTCCTCTGCCAGGAGACCTTTACGGAGCACAACCTCCTCGTTGATGTGGTCCAGCCACTGATCCATGATGGCCGCTATGTCAGAAGGGTCCGTGCTCTCCGAGAGAGCAGCTGGCTTTGCTGCCGACCACACAAGTCGGTCAACCATGCCGAAGTAGTCACAGATCTGCTGCTGCGTCTGCTTCAGGCGAGTTTCTTCCAATTGCTCACCGAGGGGGTCATTTTCCAGCTGGTGGCCAAATACCTCCTGACAGTCCCGCTCGTACATCTTCGTGTACCTGGTCTCGCGCGAACTACCGGGGACCTGCTAGCAGGAGAAACACCGGAGCACCGACTCCCCCGACTCCCACTGAAACATGGAGCCACCCACCTGGCGACGGCTAGAAAGTGCTAGAAACAAGAAGTGCGCTAATGTTTCGGACTGGTGGCATGATGTGGGAATGCCAGGCGTCGAGAACCATTTTGGAGGCGATCGGTGTCTCCCCCATGCCCATCAAGACAAGGAACTTCCGGTACTCATCAGCGGCCCTCTTCGCAAGCTTGGGTGCGTAATCGTTCTTCTTGACAAGGCGGGCGAGGACAGGATCCAGCTGTAAATCACGGGCTCGGAAGGGTTCAGAATCAATAGGGATGCTAGGCAACGAATAGATGGAACCGCGCTGTGCACAAAGATACGTCCAACACATCCAGCACTTCAGCCTGAGTGTTGGCAAAAGGTTTGAACCACGCCGCCACAGCTGCAGGCCCGACAGCACTGGGAACAGAAGCACTTTGGCTTCGGGGGTTTGCACAATGGAAGTGTACGTGACGAGAAACATCAAGCCGAGTGGCTCGAAACCATCGATGAAGAAGCCATACTTGCGGTACGTGTCAGGGGCATGTATATCATCCAATGTGAGCAGCCTGCATAGGAGCGCCACGGGAATCCCCAAGCACCACACAGAGAGGCCGGCAATGGCGATGTAAACTGAGGGCCGGTGCACAGATGACCAACAGACGATATCCGGATCCGGGAACAACCGGCTTACAAATTCTGCATCCTCTTCGATGGGTACGCACCATAGGAACCACAAGAAATTGGACAGGAGCTGTGGCCATAAGGTCACCCATCCAATCCAAACCACTGGAGTACATTGCCTCAGCTCCAGAGCCTATGGTTACTATAGGTTGCGGGCTTAAGGATGTTGATTTTTCGGTTTAATGGCTATATGAAGTTGATTGTTGGCTTGATGGTGTCGGTGGTGTCATGGCCTCACCAGCTCCAGAAGGCTCGGCTATCCCAAAGTCCAGCGAGCCCAGCACCTCGTCGACATCGACATCGAGCTCCTCTCACCTCCGCGGCGCCGAGTTCTACTCAACTAGCATGCCGGAAGATTGCAGCAATCGACTGAAAAGTTGAAGAGCAGTAGCTGATCACGTCTCCGAGGCTCCGTTGGGAACGTCGCGCAGCTCCCACGCGAAGACGCACGTCATCCAGCGACACTTCCTCGAGCATTGCCTTCGAAAAAGGCTGGGTCCGATGCAGATGTGGTGGGTTGTAGTCAAACCCGCCATGAGAGCACGCAACACTCCCATTGTCTAGGCCCTAGTCACCCGAGTTCAGGAACTGGCGTCCATGATGCAGGTCCTTTTTCTCGAGGTCAACAGTTATCGGGTTTTGACGGCGCATCGGTGTCCAAGTCCCTCTATAGTCAACACCCCTGGTCTTGCATGATTCCGCTTACCAATGTATTCCGAAAAAACGATTTCTGACTTGCCCTTGGGCCCCCAAAGTCAATTTTCACACTGGGCTTCTCAAATTCCGTAGATGAAGAAGTGCCAATGCCTTTGACAACATCTCTCCAACACTCTAAGCTCCTGGACGGACGAAACCCTCCACGGCTCCTGGAGCTTTCAAAGGGCACGTGCACGTGTCACTATTGCAAGCGTACGTAGTCTGGGTTTCTTTGGGGAGCGAAATCTGGTTTCGTGGGGCCCTTCATTCACAGACGTCATGCGCGTGTACAAGAAAATTCTTCACGTATTCCTTCTGTTCTTGGTGCTAACAACCACGCAAGCTAGCACACTGGAAGGATTCTCAATTGATGGCCAGAGTCCAACAGTTTGAAAGGGAGGGACAGAGAGAAGCCCGTCCTTACGAAGAAACACTAGCGCACAGAGCACATAGAAATTCAATACGGCGCTCTAGGACCCTAGGATTTCATATAGGAATTCACAGACCTTCAAAGGACTATGAATCCCAATAGTGGGGTTCTCCGATGAGCGCGCGCCTCCGAAGTCCCAGGGACGGTCCAGCTGCAGGTGTCCAGCTCGAAGTCACAGCTGACGTCGTGGCTCCTGGAAGCCATTGGGAGCCACAACATTTCAAACGCATTTCGGGCATGTTTCTGGGGCAGAGATGGCAGAGGTCGGATTCGCTCCTGGGACTCATCTGCGGATGGGAGGTGCCTCCCTCTCAACGATGTTACTTTGGATGTCATAGAGGCCCACTAGGCTAACCTGGCTAACATTGCCCCTTCCTTTGAACGACGTAGCGCAAGGCCCGTGCAACGGGCGGGATCTCCAGCGAGAACTGTTGCCAAGCTTCTTGGTTGAGGGTTGCGAGAGTCCACAAGCGGGCCCAAGCTGCCCCAGTTGTTCCACTCCAAGCACTCCAGCTCCAGCTCAAGGCTGCCACGCATTTGAGGCGTTTGGGAGTACACAGCGAAACTGAGCTTGGTGCGTTCTTGGAGCCGAAAGCGAGGACTCTCCAGAACTGTTTCCTCCAAAGACGCAAGAGGCTGATGTAATCTGTGACAAGATGCTGCCCCTCCCGAGCCTCGTTCCCCTTCACCTCAGCTCGCATGTATTGGATCCCCTCAAAGGCCGCCAGCTCCGCCGAGTCGTGAAGCCTCCAAGCCTCATAGCCTGTCACAAGAAAATTCAAGGCAATGCCCAGGCTCGAATTTTTGCGCCTCGTTGGAGCCGATCCAGCCGCAGGCGCCCTCCTCGAAGTTGCAGGAGACGTCGATCGCCAGTCCTCCTAGCAGCCCAAGGGCCGCGGAGGCGAGAAGCCCATGGCATGGCGACATGGTGGCTCTGAAGGACTGGGCAGTGCGACAGCTTTGACTTATCGGCCATGTCTCGTCTCCCGTCTCTTGTAGTGGCAAGGCAGCCACAGAAGCCAAAAGCTGAAGGTGACAGGTGACGGGAGCCCAGGTCGATCCCCCGACCTTATCGGGAAGACCACGTCCAGTGACGCCTCCCGATAAATCAGGCAACAGGTGCCCGTAATCCCTGAGATATCAAGCAAAACCGGCCACTGAAGTCGCTTTCGCCGCCAAAGACACAAGACACGGAGGTTGTAAACAAAAACTGGAGCCCTCACCCTACATAGGAGAGGTAGGCCAAGCTTCTTTCCAATGCTATCCGTGGCTTAAAAGCTACATGATTACGGGGAGTCGCACTATCAAACAGAGGTCTGCTGACTGCTGCTCCAACCCCTCCCGCACTTTTGATCACGATTATTCATACTCTGGGCGTTTCCTCCACGAATGGACTCTCCATTTGGAATCGAGAAACTGGCAGCACCGCCTCTGGCGGGGAAAAGCCACTCATTTAAAAGAGACTTGGGAGATCTTGGGAGTCAACGGCTCAGACTGAGGACCCTCTGTGAGTCTCCATCCTTGCAGATCTGACTCATGGTGTTCACGGACGCCAGGATCTGCCGAGCTTGATGGCTGCTCGAATCACCTTCTTCTGGCTTTCATCACATTGCCCCCGAAGCCGCAAAAGCGCACGCTCTATGTCCTCTGGCGTGCAACTGCCCTTTGCTTTTGTCTTTGCCTCTGACAGCAGGTCAGGCCAGTCCTTTTCGAGTGTTGCCCGACCCGAGCTTTGGAGCCTTCTGTGGCTTGTCGCCAGTGCAAAAAGAATCCAGAGACATTCCCGTGGAAGCTCAATCTTCAGTGAAAGGCACAGGGCCGTGAAATCTGCATGGGCGTTGCTGAGAACCGTATGCTGATATACCGGATGGAACCTCAAGGCCATTCCCCACACTTGTCGCATGCCGTTTCTAAACCTGGAACTTTGGTCGAAGATGGAAAAACTCGTCGTGATGTCCCCGTCTTTCCACTCCAGCTTCACTTGTTCTGCTTTCTCTGCTGCGAAGTAGAGGAAGAGTGCATGCTGTAAATTGGCCTTTGCATCTTTTAACCTTTGCATTATGGTCCGCCCGTCCTGCGTGCGATCATGACCTGCCGAATTTTGTAGGAGGCCTTTCTGTAGGAACTGGGCGAAGAAGTGAAGCAGCAAGTAGGCCACCAGGATCGCCAGCGCAATGACCAGCAACCATGCTGTGATTTTGACCACGGGGTCTGAAGGTGCGAGTATCAGAAGCATGGCAACCGCGCTGAAAAGGATAAACCTTGCCGCGAGAAGGAGGCACTCCAGAAAGTCCAGTAGCAAGGCACGGTCGTTCGAGTATGGCTGGACCACTGCGGCCAAGCCAAACTGAATACCTGAAAGCACTGGAAACAGCATTAACTTGGCTTCAGGGTCGTGTACGATCGACGTGTATGTCACAACCATCAGCACGCCAATGTCTGCACGCTTGACTAGGATGTCCCACCACCAGTATTCTGGCTCGAAGCCTTTCATGAAGTACCCATATTTTCTAAAATTCTCAGCTGTTTGCCGATCATCATTCAATCTGCGGAGTGTTGTTGCGAGAGCCACCGGGATGCCGACGCACCACACCATCAGGCCAGTAATCGCAAGGTATGCTGCCGGTAGGTGGTCATCCGACCAGCATTCGACATCTGGATTTGGCAGTACCAGGCTCTTACTGCTGCTCCCATCCACTTCCACTTGAACGCACCATATCATGCGCAGAAAACTTGACAACAAGCTGGGCCAAAGAGAGTAAAGACCTATCCACACCACCGGCATGCTCTCGCGAAGCAGAGCATAAAAACCGGGCTCCTTTTTAAAGAGGCCCCAACGGTACTCGGACACGCCATCTCTCTCCTTCTTCTCTGATGACTCTGATGGATGTTGATCATCGGCTCTGACCTTACGGCTTCTTTCGGCTGAGCTGTCGTTCTCTATCGCCGGCTGGCGTGACCCTAACGCACGCAAGTTCGAATTGGATGGAGACCCCGGCCAGTTGTCCAAAGCAATGCAGAATCGCTCCAAAGGATCAATCGTGTCCTTCGGGTTGGTCGACTTCTGCTTCTCAGGACCTGTGATCTCCACAATCACAGATTCTGGACTTGCGTCCTGTTTTACTTTTGGAGCGGACGGGGTAGACCAACCCATCATCTTCTTGAACATCTTGTTGATCTTCTCCAGCAGGTGCTGTATCGGGACGACCACGTGTTTGATGAACGCGCAAAACACGAAGATCCCAAGCGTGACAAGCAACGGAAGCACAAGGTTGTAGACACCTATGGCAACACTTTTGGCCCTGATGTTTTCAGGATGGAGAGCTTCTGTCTGGCAAAGAATTCTGAACTCTGTAGACACTATTGTCGGAATCACCGTGAGGATCTCAAACAAGAAGTTCATTGCACCCGTGACCTCCGGAGGCCAAGGCAGCGTCTTCCACGCAATTTCAGGATTCTGGCTGCCTGAATCTCCTGAATAGCTGAATGGCCGCAGCAGGTCTAACTCAAAGATGGTGAGGACTGAACATGCAGTCATGCACTGAGAGGCCATGCGCTGAATGGTTGCATGCAGCTCGTGGCCGCCTTGTGCAGCAGATGAAGCTGCCAGGGAGGTGATGAAGAAGAACATGAACACAAACTTTGACACATCAAGGATGACCGTCAAGATCAGCAACCATGCTGAGAAGAAGGTGCATTCCTGGCATGGCGCTTGAAAGGAAGTTCTTGACCAGCCCTTCGGGCATTCTCCACAGAGCATTCCTGCAGAGCCTTCTCGACACGTGTTGCTGTAATTGCTGTACTTCGACGTAAATGTTTGGCACTTTTGGCCATCAGGGCACGCCTCGCCCCCCAGGCAGGAGCTTTCGGAGCTTCTGCCGATGGCCACCCGTGCCCTGCACTTGAAAGCTTTCTCGAGGCCAGTCTGGAAATATCCTTTCTTTGATACGGGCATCCTGTGCTGTGGTTTTCCACCATCCGCCCAGCCTCCCTTGCAGACAAGATTCGGAAATTTTGCGCAGTTCTCACATTGTTGGAGGCTGTCACCGCTGATCATTGCATAATAGCCCTCCCGGCAGAAACAATCCAAATCTGTGCTAGCCCCGCGCGAAGAATTTGCGTTTGCCGGACATTGGAAAGGGCATTGGCCCTCGTCTCCCGGTTTGGGCTTGAAGCGGCCACTCTCACACTCTTCGCAGATAGAAGAAGAGCTTCTGTAAAACCCTGCCTTGCAAAAACAATCTGACTCTTTTTCGGACTTGGAGTTTGAAGTGGAGCCATCGGGGCACTTGATCTCCTCCCCTGTGCCTTCGCAGAAGTGGCCTTCACTGCAGTCTGTGCAGTTGCCGGGATTGCCGGATTCCTCCACAGCTTTCTTCCCAGCCCGACACTTGCAATCACCCAATGACGTGGCTGCACGTGTCACCGTGGACTTCTCCTCTGGGCAATCGCGACAACGAATGTTGCCGCTGCCTACAAGCTCCTTGTACTTCCCAATCGGGCATTCCTCGCAAGCTGCCCCTTCTCCTTCATAGCCCGCATTGCACTCGCAATCCTCTGGGCTCACCGGGAAGATGCCTGCAGGTACCGATTGGTGCTCCGGGCATTGTATCGACGATGTATTTCTTTCTGGATCTGACAGGCTCAGATCTGCATCTTGGAGGTGATTCTGATCCTTTAGCTTTAGCCACAAGTCCGAGGTGAGCACTTTGACGTCCATGTTCTCTATGGCTGCCTCTCTTTCGTCCTCTGTGCGATAATTCAGGCGCACTTGAATGGTGCGATTAAACATCGAGATCTGAATTGCGCTGGGCCTGATCCTGAAAATCTCAGCGACCACGGTCTGCACGATTTGTGCGTGCTTGTCTGTGAGGGCCTCTGCAGAGCTGGCTATGGACATTATGAACACGTTGAACTGCGCTGCTGGGACCTCTGCGGTAGCCCCCATGCTGGAGCCCTCGTTGTCAACACAGGACTTGTTGGACACAGACCCAACCGCGTGGGTGGTCAAGCTTCCAGGACAGGGATGGCACTGCTGCGCGTTCCCGGGTGCGACTTTGAATTGATTCTTTGGACAGGGCATGCATCGTCGAGACCCTTCCGAGAAGAAGAAGCCGCTGTTGCACTCGCATTCAGTCTGAGACGATGCTCGTGTTGTCAACGTCGTCTCATCGTCATTGCAGGCGAATTTTTCCATCCCACGTAGGCAAACAAAGCCTCGCGGGCAATTGCTGCAGAATGGCACTGAGCCGCGCATGCTCCGGAACGTGCCAGGTGGACACTCGACCTGCAGCACGCCCGCTGCTGCTCCAAAGACGGAGTGGAAGCTGCAGTCAGCAACGCCCTTTGGGCACCAGCACAATTGATACCTACCGGGACTTGATGTGTCAGTCGGCAGCTCGCCAAAGGAGACTCGAAATGCTTCCTCCCCACCGCCCACATCTTTCGGCTCCTTCAGATGCGGAAATGCTGGGGTAAAACTGCAATTGCCTTCGGTCCTGGCCAAAAACACTTTGTCGCCCAAAGCAAGTCCGACACCCGAGATGCTCACATCGCAAGGGTGGCCCACGAGACATGCATGCGGCAGACTCAGACGAAAGGGTCCAGGGACGGTCATGAGGCCAATGGGTGCCTTGAACTGCGAAGCATGGTTGCACTCCGTGCCAGAGCTGTTTCTGCAATAGCACATCCTGTAAATGCCAGGATCGCTGTCCACCACAGCATTTCTTTCGAGAAAATGGAAACTGGATGTCCCCAAGTCACCCAAGTCAGTCTGCGCGATGCCGTTGCCCGGCAATCCTGGGACTGGCGAGCCTCTTCCACAGTTGGCCAGGACCATCAAACGATCCCCAGGGTTGAGAACGATGCCCTGGATGTTGATTGTGCAGACCTGGCCAATGGCACAACTCTCCTCCTGGTTGGATCTCGGACCAAGAACACGCAGCTTTCCTGCCGCCACATTGAAGTCTCGCGCCT